AGTGGGCCATGGGCTTATTGAATTACCACACAGTGGAGTGCTCCATCCAGCCACTACCCAGTAATTAACAGTGAGGGATTTAGAGGGTTTGTGGTCTGTGATGTTTCTTTAAACCTGTTGATCATCAGATCAGTGTGATACATCTGTGGCTATATTTGTGGCTTTGGCTATTCTCTACCACAAGGTGGTTAGCCTACAAATAAATGATCATCTAAAGCATACAGCAGCTGATTGATGATGATGATGAGGATGATGATGATGATGATGATGATGTGACCTTGGATATCCCCAAGCAGGGAATTGAAAATAGCTCTGTTTCTGATTACTTGTTTACACTGTGATATGAAACATACTGATTCAAGCATCATGTTTTAACAGGATGCAATCGCAGTATATGAACTGCCTTTTGAGTGTACACTGTGAAAAATATTAACAGTTCATATGAAGAGTTATATGCTGCATACTTTTTATAGAAGGGCCTTGTTTTGCATTATTGATTAATCTGACTAGTTGTTTAGTCTATAAAATGCCAGGAAGTTTAATTTACAATGATATAAAACAGAGATTATATAAGAGGCTGTAGAAAACAGTTCGCAGTTTTGATCAATAACAACCAGTCAATTATCTCCATTTTTGTCAGTCAACACTAGGTTATAGTATGGCTTGCAGTAGCTTTGTGTCCAAGAAAGAAAATATTGTTTATGTTTTTTTTTTTTTAAATAGTAATTGTCACATCTATTATTATTGAAATGACAGATAATCACAGTACAAGATCATAATGTCCAGCTCCAATTCAGATGCAACCCTGATGATCCGTTGTTAGACACTGATGGGTCATTTTGAAGGTTTTACGTCCCCTTGGAGGGCGCAGTGATTTCTGGGAATGATCAGTGTCACTGTCGACTGCTGCAGATAGGAACTCTTTTAAACTTGGTTCAGGAGTTTGGCAACAGGCGACCTTTGATTTGCGACGCCAGCGGTCAAAGGTGCCCTTCGCTGCTCTGTCTGTTTGTTTGCTCTCAAACAGATGCTGTTAAACAGAGACTGACAGGAAGGCACTGGAGCTAAATCTGTGTGAATTCACTGCGTTTCTTATGATGAGTGGTTTTTTTTTTTTTTTTTTGGTTTTTTTTTAGGCTGCCTTACGAACAGGCCTCCCGGTGCTTGTGCCTTCCTCTGCTGTGTAATGTGTGATAGGGATGCACATTCCAAAAGCTTCTTTGTATGGAGGTGATTTACATAGAATGGAGATGGAACAGCCGGTTGAGTCGGGTCATTCAAGGATAGGCCCCTTTGAGCCGCTCTGGGCCGATTTATGCTTCCTCCGCTGAACATTTTGGCCTCCTTCCACACGCGCTCACACACACACACACAAACACACACACACACACACACACACACACACACACACACACACACACACACACACAAACACAAACACACTCCCCTGTGTCAAAAAATCTTTAAGCTCAAGGTGATGTTGTCAAGTTGCTTGTTTTGTGCGAGCAACAGTCTAAACCCAAAGATATTCACATGTAATATAAAGCAGCGGCAAGTAGTCACATTTGAAAATCTGAAAACACACTGTTTGTTTAAGAATTTTTTTTTTGTTTTGTTTTTGTTTGTTTGTTTTTTTTTTTGCTTGACAAATGACTTTAACAACCACTAATCGATCAATCAATGTTACTAGCAGCTTGCAATAAATACAGTTTGGGGGAACAGAGCCGTTTCTGGCCTTCTGCGCATCCTAAAATCTAATATTTTTGATGTGTGTGCGTTACTGATAATAAACACTAATGTTAAGTTCTGATTTCAAGCTTATTAGACCAGTGTTTTGAGTGTAAGGTTTGAAATGACCCATTGGTTTGATGTCCAAACTGTAATGTATAAAATTGCCTTCAAGTTGCTGTGTGTCCACCACATCCAATCTCAACATAACACCCTTAATCCTGACATCTTTTACACCTGGACACTTGTTGGTCTGGAGGTCTATGAGACCATGTTGGCTGGAGTGACGGTAGCTATGTCTCCTACTCAGCACTTCTAGAATAGAATAGAACTTTATGAGCCACGAAGGGAATTTGCCATGCACATAAAGAGAGGGGTCAGTGCACAAACTGAGACAGTACATGCTGTACTCATCCTGTGCTCATCCATTACGTAAGCTTGTTGATTAGATGAAAATGCACTTCAAAAAGTTGGGAATACCCCACCGCTGTAGAATTTAAATCTAGGTAGTTCATTTTGTTGAATTACAGGCCATAGCATACAGTATACAGAGTTGGCTGCTTGTAAAGTGTACGGTACTGCAGTATATCTCTTGTATCCAGTCAGCTCTGTGGGAGAGAGAGGGAGGCCCCAATACATATTTGTCTGCCAGGGATCACTCATGGAGGGCTGGAGAAAGTGGGCGAGTGAGAAAGGGGGTGGAGGCTATAGTCTCACTGCTGAACAGGAAGTTGCACAACATCTGTTCCTTGGCATACAGAGAGGGACTGAATGGCCAGCTGTGTGTTTCAGAGTGTGTCTTCATGCACAACGTGTTACATCCAGGCAGACAATGTGACATTCCTCTCTATTTCCCAAATCCTTGACATCTGAAAGCAACTGTCTTACATTACTCAGAGTTTCCATTTCTTTTAACTAGAGTTTATGCTTCTCGCATCCAGTGGAGAAGAAACTAATGTGCACTTAATCACTGCCAGAGGTTAAGTATCAGAGCAATATTTCAAAAGAGTTGCAGAGTATTTAGCAAGTAGTTCTGTTTAACTTTCAAAAAGCCTGCAGACTGAAGTCACTTCAGCAAACCTGACAGGCAGGAAGAGTCCAAACACTGTGAACATAAGCAATTATTTCTCTGAACTAGGCAAAAAAAAAACAAAAAAAGAAGCACATCTTTGTGTACACCGGAGCTGAAAGCTACTGCCTGAAGGCAAGTAGAACTGTTGAATTTTTCAGTGAAATGTTTCTCACTGTGTCAGCATTTCTCATTTCCCTTAGATGAAATGAGTAAATGTAATGTTTTGTATCTTCAACTGTGTAATCCTTATTCAGTAACGGTTACAAAGCGAGTAACAACAAGGACTGACAACTCATGACTACTCACTGATGACTACTCTTTCATTGAATGACTAATTATTGCAGCTCTGTGAGGCTCTATGAGGGTCCTTTGGTACAGAGTTTAGCTGCCATACAGAGCAAAAGCATCTCTTTTTCACATTTAGACTCTGGAGCAGAAATAGGGAAGTCACATTTCATTGTAAGCCTGTCTTTGGCCACAGTGACTCTTTGCTAATATTTTCAAGGGAAAAGGGATTGCATTATTTGTCTATTGGAAAATATATTGGCAAATTGAACTGTCTTGTAAAATCATCTTTGGAAATGTGAAAATGAAACTTAAAGTTAATCAAGACAATGGAGTAGATGTTATAATCCTGCGATGTGCATCACAAAAAAAGCATCATCCCCTCTCTGGCACCCTGTTGAGCTCTGAGGAAGGAAAAGAAGAAACAAAGCAAAACACAGGTGCTTTTCATTGTGTGAGAGGGTATCATGCCCACTCCCACCTTTATACACACACATTCACACACACACACACACACACACACACACACACACACACACACACACACACACACACACACACACACACACACACACACACATCCACAAACACAGGAATGTGACATTTAACTAAGAACAGTGGCATTGGGCCCAGTATCACACTGTGCATGTGTGTGTAAAGGTGGGTGGGGGATGGTGCACTGACAAGAAGAAGCTTCTGCATTTTCTGGCCGTTCAGACTGATCCAAACATTCATGTGCGTATGGTGGTATGTCACTCTTCATCATTATCAAAAAAAAGTCAGTTATTGGCCCCGAAGGCTCCTGTTTTTTGCATCTGTTCATCTATTCACATCACATCTATTGTGACAGCCTGTACTTATTATTTGCATGTATGTACTATGTATATATTTATTAATTATGTGTACAGCACATGTCGGTCCATGTATGTACATACTGTATGTGTATATTGGTCGGTACACACCACACCCTGCTACCCAGTTGACCGACAGCTTTTCTAAGTAGGTCATCTATGTAAATGCCAGCCTGTCAGTTTACATCAATGGATGCAAAGCAAAGTCAGCACCCTGCGACCAAAATCGGGCGGACTTCACTCTGTGTAGCCATATTTACACACCACTGACTGCATAAATGCATATTGCACTGTCAGTAAACAATATGTTCTCAAGCTTTTGGTCCTTTCATATGGCCATTAACATAGAAATCTGTTCATCTGCTATACTGTCATTTTCCCATGTACAGTATGTTTTATGCTTGTAGGCTAATCATTGGGACGAAATTTGCAATAACTTTTGTCTGCTGCTGCTGCTCCACTCATATTAAAGGGTGATTTTGTGGTGTATTTGCTCTTATGGGGTCTTAAAGCTGCTATAGTCAATATTTTATATCAGCAATGCATCAAATGACTGTGCGTAATGTGAAAGGTATTGCCGGTACTAACAAGCGTGCCGAGAATTATCGCCCACCCCTGCAGTTTGCCTAAGAGCCCTACAGGGAGTTTTTGTGTCTTTTAACTCATTGTTTTGGTTTTACAGCCTGCAGCTTTAATGTTCTGGTTCACTCCCACCACTCTCATTAGTGCTGTTTGCAGCCACAGCAGGCAGCTGTTTTCGGCGAAAAAAAAAAAGGCTCTTAAAACCCATTGCAGACTACCTGCTCAGCATCAAACACCAGGCAGCAGAAGTTAGTGACAAGCTGGTGAACGTAGTGGAGCATTTAGCAGCCAAAGGGTCAACTAATAGAGGACTGTCAGATGACCTGAAACGTGACTCCAAATGAACGCTAATTATCTCTCTGACACAGTGTCAACAAAATGCTTAGATTACAATCCTCACAAATGCAGGATTTGCTGTATTGGATTGCACCAGCTTACACTTCTTAACTTTGTTCCCTAACACACCTTTCCTTCTCCTCTAGACTCCACAGGGCCAATGAGCACGGCCCACACCCACCCGCCTCCCATGGGTGGCATGGTGGGCCACCCGTCAGTCATCAGCACTTCCAGGCCCCTGCCGTCCCCCATGTCCACCTTGGGCTCGCCGATGAATGGCCTGGCCTCACCCTACCCCGTCATTACATCATCACTGGGCTCACCTTCTGTGTCGCTGCCGTCCACGCCCAACATGAACTTTGGACCACTCAGCAGTCCCCAGGTGAGAGAATGTGTGGCTGTTTTGATGGTAGTCAGATTCAGTAGCGATGGACGTTGTCTTAAAAGGCTTCTTTTTCAGAAAAGGCTTGAATTTAAATATTTTCCCCTTAATGTAAATATAACCTTTCTACTTTTTTTTTTTTTAATTTATGTTCAATTCATTAATAATAATAATTTATACACCTGCATTCCACGTGCAATATTGTTATTCATCCTCTTGGTTTACCCACTTAACTTTGTTTAAAAACAGACAAGGACTTCTATTCATCACTGCTCTTATCAACAGAGGTTTATATTCTTTCAAATGACTTTTTTTGGCAAGGTTCATCTGCTTGAAACTATCATGTTCTTTGGTTGATCATGTGCCTCTCCTTCTTGGAATCCCCGACAGCGGTCAGGAGGTTGAAGGTTAGCCATATCCAATGTGTTTGGCTGGCATACCTTGGCTTTTCCCTCTCTCCCCTACCCTTCTACTGACCTTTAAACATCTCGCCCCAAAAAGGTCATCACTGGGTTCTGTGTTGCTGCTGTCATGCGAGGGGACTTAAGACGCAGTCCAACTATTAGCCCTTTAATGGATTACTGGGAGAAAGGGAAAAAACAGAAATAGAGAGCAGCCTTTTTTCCTACTTTCCTGACATTTTTCCTGTTTTTCTTCTTAGCTTGTCTCTAATTGCGTTAGTCTCCCTTTATAGTTCCATTTTGGTTATTCTAGCAGTCTTTTATAATCCAAACGCAGCTCCCTCCTGTGTGAGGTTGCATCTTTTCAGATGGCACAAATAATAAACAGCAACACCCACAAGACTTCTCTTTTTGCTCTCTGGCACAATTGACAGAAAGTCAGAGAGCTAATGATGGTATGTTCTTTAAGTGGTCCTCTGAATGAACTACAAACCCCACAAGGCTCAGTGCATCTATAATCGCACACATGCAGAAACAAACGTACACACACACACACACACACACACACACACACACACACACACACACACACATTGTGCTTCAGAGACTGGATGGAGGCCAGTGCTGCAGGGTGCAGCAGACGATAATATATGTTGCTTCAGTCGCAGTATGGATCCGTGCCTTTAGGGACAGTCAGGGTTAATACGATCGTATGGTGTAACCATCTCTCCACCACTCGCCAACAGCCAGTGACCAAGCCACCATAAGGTCATTGTGTCACGTAACATCTCATACTGTTTGTATGGGTGAACTGGAGTTCAAGAGCAGTTCGGGGTTGACCACAAGCAAATTCAATATTATGCTTGTACATCTATATTCATGTTTCCTACTATCATCTTGTTCTTTTCAACCCTTTAACAGTCTTAATCAGTATTTTCTGATCATATAAATTACAGCATATTCATAGTGAATAATAAATTATTTTGTATTTTTCAACTATTTTAGTTGCAACAGAAAACATTAAAACACAGATTTAATATTCAGTTATTTGAATTACATTATTAAATCATGTTTTGAAATACCTGTCAGTCAGTTTGCAGTTTAGATTGGGGCAGGTGGCTGTATTTTTGTCAGTATTTATGGCTGCAAATAAAGATCATTTTCATTATTAATTAATCAGTCAGTTATTTTCTCGATTAATTGATAAGTCATTTGGTGCGTGAAATGTAAAAAAAAATGCCCATAACAGTCTCCCAAAGCCCAAACTGACATTACCCTAACTCCTTTTCTAACCAGCAGTCTAAAACCCAAGTTTGCCTATTTGGTTAAATATCATGGAAGACTTAGAAAAACAGCAATTATTCATATTTTCAAAGCTGGAACCACCCTAACCAATGACTTAAATGATTAATCAATTATTAGAAAAGTTGCAGACTATTTATCCATTGGTTAGTTTACTGATTAGTTGACTAATCGTTTAATCTCTATTTGCATTTTTATCACCCATTGTGCCTTTAAAAGTCAGAATGAATGTGCATGGTTGCCAATTGAAAATAAATCTGTTTTTCATAGATTTTCACTGGTTCATTTATGATTTTTACCGAAAAGTGGATACACACGTCTGGCCCATTAAAGGCCCAAGTAAACCTTACATGTATGATGCAGTATGTTCTTCATACCATGTGTCGTATAAAGAATTTATGATGCATCAATAATCCATATACAGTGCTTGTAGCCCTTTTTTGCACCAATATGTTGTCTGTCTGAAATGGCATGTGTGTCTGAACAACTGTTTGAATGCACCGCAAGGCTTCTTTTTTCAAACCATACATGTGTAAAATTAATTATTCGTGAAAACTGCATTGAAGAGCATGTCGAAGAGGAATAGCTGTGCACCGCTGACTCACTGATGAGCGAATACGTAGGGGGCTGAATGCTCATTTAAGTGTGACTGTGCGCCTGTGGGGCATCTACAGTCGAAGAGGGTAGTGGCGAATAGAGAACTAGTGTGCTTGGGGGAAAACTGAAGGACAGAAAAAAGATGTCTTGTGTACACTCCTCTGCTTTAAGGTCGCACCCGTAGAGTCCTCAGTTCAGTTTGCCATTAGAGTTTATTCAGACGAAAGTGCACTTCGTAAATAAGTGATAGGGAGAGCCTGAGGTGACTGTGAGGAGGCTGTCCTATATGTCATACTGCATCAAAGATATAGAACAGGAGGGCATATGTAGGTCAACCTTGTTGTTTCCAGTTGGATTGCAGATGTTTGCACATAAACAACTAAACAAACAGAAATGTGCCGCACATGCATCCCACCTGGCTCTCGTCAGCAGGAGAGGATCAAAGGGCATGGAGATGATAAGAGAAAGAGAGATATGTAAAATTTGAAGGAAGCCGGACTTGTTGCCTGGCCTCATTGAACAGGGTTCATTACCTCTACTGAGAGGACACTGAGAGCCTCACTTATTTTAACCTTGGTGGGTTGTTCACACCTTGTTGTATAATGGGGCTCCTTGAGGTCACACAAGGCCTCATACTGTGGTAAGAGTCCTCAGTCTCATTAAGTAAGATGTGAAGTTTTGTCAAGCCACCTGGGAATCTTTCAATTCTCCAAAATTAAAGATTGGCCGGATAAAATTATGCAGAGATTAAAAGCATCAACATCTGAAACACTACTTAAACATTACCTTCATTCCCAGAAATTTGAAGACCCTACACAGGAGCCCCCTCTGCTGTTTGTGTTTGAGAACTACACATTCTGCACACGTGACTCCTAAGCCTCTCCCTGTCAACAAACAAATAAAAAAAATAAAAAAAACCTGTTTGACAAGCCTCTGACAGAAGACTTAGCTCCTCCCATTGCCAGAGCATGTGATCGCACCCTGAGACACTTTCACAATAAAGCGTGTGGGTGGAGAGAAAGTAATAATATGGGTGAGCGGAAAACAAACTGAGAAAATAGAGGAAGAGAGAGTGTCATGAGACTGCCTAACACTTTTAACTCTTATTTCCCCTCTGCTTCCTCCTCTGCTCTGTTTTGTTCAGTTCTGGCCACCTAAGCTTCAACTCTCTTTGTTCTCTCTTCTGTCTTCCTGTCATCCTCAGATGAACTCTATGAACAGTGTCAGCAGCTCGGAGGACATCAAGCCTCCGCCAGGCCTACAGAACCTGGGAAACATCAACTACCAGTGTACGAGCCCCGGGGGAATGTCAAAGCACATCTGCGCCATTTGCGGGGACCGCTCCTCAGGTAATGTTAGAGGGTTAGGATGGAGGATGGAGAAATGTACACTGCCACTCCCCACTAACATTCCCACAGAGATGACAAGAAGAAAGACAACAAAGACAGATGTTTTCAAGATAACATGTAAGGGATTTTGTCAGATTTAACAATCTATTTTTTTCCTGTTGCAAAGATCTTTATTGTGGTGTTGTTGCTGTATTTACAAAATAGGAAAAAAAAATTTCACTGTGTAGTAAACGGCAAACATGCTTCCAATCCTGACTCCAAACATGTGTCCAAAAAGAGGTTTACAGTCCACACCATGAACCTTATGTACTGTGCGGTTTAGTGCTGGCTCAAAGCAGGTGTGATGTTGTGGGTTTTGTTTCCACAGGAAAGCACTACGGTGTGTACAGCTGTGAGGGATGCAAAGGCTTCTTCAAGAGGACCGTCCGAAAAGATCTCACGTACACATGTCGAGACAACAAGGAGTGCCTGATTGACAAGCGCCAGCGAAACCGCTGCCAGTACTGTCGCTACCAGAAGTGCCTGGCCATGGGCATGAAGAGAGAAGGTGTGTGTGTGCATGTGGGAGATGAATAGGGATAGTTCTGGGTCTGAGTCACAGGCCTGTGTTCTTTAGTCTTTTCAAACCCAAAGTCATCACTTCAAATTCATGTAGTGCGAACATGAATTGTTCAACCCTGCAGAAATATATTTTAAGTTCTAATCAAGATCCATGTCAGGCTGATATGCATGGAAAGCTCAATAACATGATGCAAAGCACATCTTAATTATACTCTATATTTGTATGGATATATTGGTGCATTCATGAAAATGTGTGTGTGTATATGCGTAGCGGTGCAGGAAGAGAGGCAGCGTGGGAAGGAGCGAGGGGAGAATGAGGTGGAATCTACCAGCAGTTTCAACGAGGACATGCCTGTGGACAAGATCCTGGATGCTGAGCTCGCTGTGGAACCCAAAACAGAGACGTACAGTGACGGCAGCCCCGGAAACTCTGTAAGAATCACAGGCACTGAGCTGGATGGGGCCAAACCCATGAGCTCTTACTGTTTTTACCATGAGGCCAAGGTGTTATCTGACAGATGCCACTGGATGATGTTGGTCCTGATCTGTGGTGGTCAAAAAACATATGTACCCTAGCAAAGCAAAGTAGATATTTGCAATCCTGCAGCTGAAGTGATGGAATATGTTCAGTCCAAGTGTAAATAAATTCAAGAAAGAATCTTATAAACACTGATACAGCAGATCCACGATTCAAATGTTCTGATTAGTAAGCAAATCTAAGGTAAATAACACAAGATGAGCAGTTTATGGTGGTGAATCCAGGCTCTACTATAACTCCATTATTCGGACAAGCCACTGTCAGTGCTGCTGACAGCTGTTTTATTCTGAGAAGTCAGCAAATCAACAGTGAAGTAGACACTGACCTGTACAATCTCATGCAGCCCTGCAACAAATCCTACCACCAAAATCTCATAATGTTGAACTGCAGTGACACTGTACCAGTGGTAACTCAACTCTGAGATCATTCCGGAGACTGTCTTCACAAGTCTTGAGAGGAATCTGTTGGTTTAGAAAGCACCCGAAAATAGATGCAAAGCAGCTGCACCTGCTCTAACTGCTGTTAGATAAATTTAGAAGGAGCTCACCAGCACAGTTATTGACTGTATTGTTTTGGCATTTTTACCCTTGTTCCTCTCCAGACCAACGACCCAGTCACCAATATCTGCCAAGCAGCAGACAAACAGCTCTTCACACTGGTGGAGTGGGCCAAAAGGATCCCGCACTTCTCTGAACTCCCGCTCGATGATCAGGTCATCCTACTACGAGCAGGTAGGCACACATGCAAACCCATGCATTCAGCAAGCATGTGTGTACATACTTAAAAACTTAAAAATGCATGTAATGTTACACAAAGGTACCACTAATAACAGTAATCAAGTCTTTCTACAAACCAGTAGTTATTCATCTCTGGGCAGATAGTCTATTTAAGTCATCCACATTTGCTGAGCACATTTTTGCCATCTAGTTTAATGGAGCAGTGAAACCAAATATAACTGGACTATTTGCCAAGTCCCAGCAGTGCAGTTTGTAGCTGTACCAGGGCTGACCTCTGCTGGTGAGAGATTTCACACACAGGCCTGAATGAGGAAGTCAAGAAGTCTCACAGAAAGACCCAATAAGAATTATTTTATCTTTAAGAAAAACATGGGAAGGCAGACAGATCACAGAAATCTTCTGAAATGATGTCACAAAACATTTACAGAAACTTTAGAGGGACCGTGAGGTAGGGATGGACAGAAAGATGGAGAGGTCACAGTTGTTGTCTTTTTGTACCTAGGCTGGAACGAGTTGCTTATTGCCTCATTCTCGCATCGCTCAGTCACGGTAAAAGACGGCATCCTGTTGGCGACAGGCCTCCACGTCCACAGAAGCAGCGCCCATAGTGCTGGAGTGGGCTCCATCTTTGATAGGTAGGTAGCACATATGGCGGTGGTCGGCTTGACAACAAGGCTTTTTAGGTTAAACATCTAAAAAGCCTTGTGTTGCTGGTAGTACAGACCCCTATTAGTAAGAAGGAAGTGCAACTGAAATGCACTTCCGCAAGAATTGATGAACTAAATGTTGTCCTGTCAAACCACTCCGGATGCTTTTATAGTCACTTTGTGGTCTTAGGTTGGCAACATCTTGCCAGTGCTTTACACCACTGTTACCTTCATTCACAAAGTTTTGTAGTGTCACGTGAGTGAAGCTGAATGCTTACTCCTGGAAAAATGCTAAATGCTGAGATGAAGGCTAAGTGTATATCTATATTTGGTGATCGACTGATTTACAGTCCATGTTGTGACTCTCTTATGTTATTGTCTTCATCTCCTGCAGAGTCCTGACAGAGCTGGTATCTAAAATGAAAGATATGCAGATGGATAAGACAGAGCTTGGCTGCCTGCGTGCCATCGTCCTGTTCAACCCAGGTCAGTTACATCATAGTCTAGAAAGCAACATAAGCAGTTATTCACAATGCAATGATGCAGCAGATTGGTTTTACATATAGGTCAAACATAATGCCGGGCATCATAATATGGTTTTATGACTTCACTGTGCACCCATGTATTTTTATAAAGGATAGACACAGTGGCCTTGTGACACCATGGCTTTAATTTCTGTTTTGGCCTCAAATCGGTTTAAAAGCAGGTGGATGTTTTGTGGATCAGAAGGGATTTTATGTGGTTGTGTGTGACTGTGAATTTGTGTTTGTTTCAGACGCAAAAGGTCTTTCAAACCCACCAGAGGTTGAGGGGCTAAGGGAAAAAGTCTACGCTTCATTGGAGTCGTATACAAAACAGAAATACCCGGACCAGCCTGGCAGGTAGGAAATGCATTACATTACAGGATCAATCAATCAATAATCAATCAATTAAACACCATTGTTTTAATTGCTGCTTTGGATTGTACAGAGCAGTGAAGATTGTAGATTACATTACTGCACAGCTCTTCCAAAACTAAAACACTTTGACTCGACTCCTTCATTATGTTTAAAAGGATAAAGGTTGGTGGTGTTCTTCCTTACATGGTGGTGGTGATGGTTTCAATTGATTATTTTGATTTTACTGTTGGGAGCTAAATAAGAGCAACAGGTGCTGGGAAATAAAAGCCCACACCACCAATTAAATTAAGATGAAGGTTAAGCTTTGAATGATAAACATAATAATGACAGTAATTATTTTCTAGCAAATTTGGGAATTAATTTAAAATTGAACTTGCAATTATGATTGCTAAAGCTGAAGCCTCAGAATATACCTCACTATTTTCCTCTTTCCCAGGTTTGCCAAACTGCTGCTCCGCCTGCCTGCCCTGCGCTCCATCGGCCTCAAGTGCCTGGAGCATCTGTTCTTCTTCAAGCTGATTGGGGACACACCTATTGACACCTTCCTGATGGAGATGCTGGAGGCTCCGCATCAGATCACATGACACCAGTCCCCTCTCCTTCCCCCTGTATATACTCCCACATTGTCAGCGATATGAAGATGGAATTAAAAAAAAGACTGATTTAAATTGTAAAACAGCATATTTTGTACCAAGCAAAACATTGTAATTAAAATTTTAAAAAAGTATTTTGAGGGTGTGGGGAGGATGAGACGGAGGATTGAGTACACTGTCATAATGAATTCTAATGCAACTGTTAACAGATTTCTTTTGTAAATAGATAATTTCAGGTGTCCATTTTAAAAACCCGATGCAATTTGAAAAAGAATAATATTTTATTCAAAGAGGACTTGAATAAAAACAGAAACCATCCCTGCATTTCTTAAAACACATTTGAGAATTCTTACAGAATAAAGTTATTTAAAAATTTATCTAAAATGTGTGTTTGTATTGTCATATTTTGACATGTATAATAAATTGTTAAACTGCACAGCAGCATCAATATTAAAAAATGCAGGTTGTTACCATTTTGATGTCCTAAGATTCCCCAAAAGTAAAAATGACTATTCCTCTGTCTTTCTTATATTTCCATGCTCCAGCCACCAGATGGCACCCATTGAGTGTAAACATGATGACACACACAGACATCAAGACACACACATTCTTGTCTTATGTGTCTTATGTGAAGACACTCATTGACATAATTCATTATCTAGCCCCTTACCCTAACCCAAAATCAGAAGTAAATGTGGCAGTAAATTATAGAAAGGCTGAAGTTAAAAATGTAATCAAATGAGAAATGGTAAAGAAATGGCAATAAAAATGGAACAGGGAAACTAAAGATCAGGTATTACAACAGTATCCAAAGTAAAGTTGGAGAAATGAGAGAAAGTAGCAGAACTAAAAAGAGGAAGACATCATCCCATGGATGAGATTTGGGCATTCTAGTCTTAACAGTACACTTAAGAAAACTGGTAAACATGCAACTGGTATATATTTAACTGGTATTATAATGTACAGGAAACATTAAAACATGTAATTATTTATTGTCCTCATGAAAGGAAGGTTCTCAAATACATATTGGAAAAAGATCATATCAAACTTGAACTAAAAGAATTGTTCCAACTGAATTCGGAATGTGAGGTAGAGAAGTATAGTTACATTTTTTGAAAAGACTGGACGAAAGAATAGGCCATATTATATTTCATAAGAATCATTCCGGTCTAAACCAGAAGGTGGCAGTAATGCACCTAAAAGCTGTTTGCCAACCACCTTACATCAACATCAGTAGAAGAAGATGATTTTTTTTTTTTGTTTTGATGCCATGCCGAAAAGTCACTATGTTCTCGATTGCCTGGAGAAATCTACTTTGTATACTCTGCCAATGCAAGAACGGAACCATAAAGAACTCACTGGCAGGAATTTATTTTTTATCAGGTTCACTCCACTGTTCCAAACATTTTACTTTGAGCCCACCACTGCAAGGACTGCTTCAAAAATCGTGCATAGTTTGATACTGGATTTACGCGATGGTTATTTGTAAAGGACAGGGCAGTTTACACTTTATGTTGCCCAATGGGAGACTCAGGCCCACAAACTGTAAGTATGCATTATTATTTGTAAATTTTGTGATGTTCAAAAGGGTCGCAGGTGACCTGATTGTGTGCAAAGCAGCGTAGCAACATACACATTTGTGAATATTGACATGCTATACCTCGTTAGCTTGGATAAATTATCCACAATTGAACCATTCAGTTAATTTGTCAGTAACTACAAGCACAAAAGTACAATTAATTCAGATTTACCAGCAATGTAAACCAGACTGCAAAGCGTGGTGACTCCCTACCTTTGAAACTTCACTTGGTAAGTTTGATTGGTGCTCAATTTCTTTCTCTCTTTTTAGCATTTATCCTTATCCCTATATGTGAGACTGCATATCAATTATCAGAGGCAGAGACTCATCTTCAGTTGAGCTGGCTTTATAGCCTAAAATGTCGCAGCAACATTACATACTGACCAACTTGGGGCACAACGTCTTCTGACTAGTCAATATATACACACTGCACACAACTCTACCTAATCCTGCTATAGAGTGCTGCAGGGATGATGTGTTTTTTTTATCTATCTATCTATCTATCTATCTATCTATCTATCTATCTATCTATCTATCTATCTATCCCTTAAAAGTATTGTAATTTTGATGGCGAAGGCAGGAGTTCACTTGTCAAACCACTTGGTTTATTCAAACTTCACAAAGGTACAGCTCAGCATACTCGGCTCTCTGCAACCTATAACAGAGCTCATCAGCAACCTACTCTAAACATAGTGTTGGAGCTATTTGGTGTTATTTAGTTTAGTGTTTACACATAGGTCAAACCAAACTTCAACAAGTGCAGTCGGCCAGCCCTCACCTCCAGTGCTCCGCCACTCACCAAAACACATAGGCTAATGACTTTTACCAAATCAGAGGGGAGACTATAGTCTGACTAGTCAGAACCCTAACTACAGGCCTACACTATGGAAGTATATGACCCTTTAACCTGCACTTCACTTCCTGAACACTATTATTATTTTCTAATGGGAAGAAAAAATCCTTTCATGTGCGTCTGTGGTAACACTGGAATTCAGCATGGGGAGGAGAGAGAGTGAGAGAGAGAGACAGAGACAGACGGAAAGAGAGAGAGAGAGAGAGCGAGAGAGAGTGACAAAGGGAGGGGGGGCGGGAGAGGTAACCTGCACCTGCACATGGAGGAAGTCTCTCTCTCCCTCTCTCTCTCTCTCTCTCTCTCTCTCTCTCTCTCTCTCTCTCTCTGTCCTTCCCGTTCATTCCTAATAGGATAATTGATAGATAGCCTAAATAGTCAATAACTCTGGACTCAGCGAGGTCGGCGGAAGCTCTGAGGAGAAACTTTGATGCGCTGCTCTCTGAGTCTCAGAGCAGCAAGTTGCAGCAGGAGTTTGAGCGCCGGAGATGCTCCGAAAGGAACTGGGAGTTTAAAATCTAAAACACTTTGCTACCGTCAGGAAACTCGCATATAACAGGTAGGTTTGTTTTTTTTAACTTGGTTTTTATTTCATTTTTGAATAAGCCTATCTATTTTGCCTTTGATTAACTTTGGTCAAAATCACTATGTTTCGTTAGAGGACTGCAGTGGTGGATCTAGGAGGGTAAAAAAATTATGAATTAATTATATTAATGACCATTAATTAGTAAGACTTAGATTCAGAATACAGTTTTTAAACTTTGTATTTCACTGAGATTATTTTTCGCATTATTTAATACACATGGTCACCAATTGAACGTCATCATTGGTTTAAATAACGGTCTAAACGATTAAAATAATTAACGTTTCACAATGTAATACTAACTTTTTAATTAAACAACTAGCAATTTAGCTGTTTTTTTCCTAACATTTAAAAGAGGCAAAGTCGCGTTTTGATGAGCCTTCATTAAACTTCTCTCAGCCTTCAGTTTGCCACAGCCCAAATTAGCAAGCACTGTATTTCATCCGCATCCTGCTGATTGGAAAAGTGTTGTAATGAGAGGATTTCCCATCACTGCAGATATGGATCAGAGGGCAGTGTGCGCCGGATGCCACCGGCTGATCTCAGACAGATTCCTGCTCAGAGTCACTGACGGCCTCTGGCATGAGGGCTGTGTGCGGTGCGCAGCGTGCGGGGACGCGCTCAAGAACTCCTGCTTTCTGCGGGACCGCAAACTTTACTGCAAGAGGGACTATGCTGAGTGAGTGCTCACTTCCAACTCTGAATTATTGTTTGGTGTCTGTTGATGTGACAGCTGAAATCATAAAACACTTAGGCACACGCATATTACTTTTCAGCTCTGGCACGAGGCTGCCATGCACGTGAAGGTAAAGAGATTTTCCAGGTTGATCTTACACTGCAATGTTAGTTTTTCTGCACCAAGAAATACAATTGAATTTAGGTTAGAAATTTGCAAAGAAATTGTTTTTTATGGGCCACCACCATAGTCATGTGACCATGTCCGTTTCTCTCACTGGTAAAGTCATTGCATGAAAACATTTTAATTCAATGAATTTTAGCTTGGTGAAGAGTAACGTATATATTTAATGTTCGTTACAGTTGGGTTAGGGTTAGGTTGAAAATACTGCTAATATATATGCAATATGCTAAAATATTGCTAAAATCTTAGCTGCATCCCATTTCTTTTCTAAATACAATTGTGGGGTTTTTTTTTTACAGTAGCCTGTAATTAAACCCTTTTTCTCATCCTGTTTCAAGCTTTGGCTCATATGTTGCAAATATAAGCTACTACCAGGACTTGGTGCCATTAGATGTTTTCTCTATTACATGGACTATAATGTTGTATGGTTCATGTTATAGGTAAAACATCTAATGGCTCTTGTGATATACTTTTCATTTTGGTCATAGGCTGTTTATTTCATTTCATTTTGTTTTTTATTTTATTATTGTTGTATTTTATTTTTTGGCCTCCTGTCCAAAAATGATTCTGTGATTCTGTGATATTAAGGCAATTTTCACAACAGAACCCTTGTCCATGTCTGACCTTGACTAAGAATGTGTGTGTTTGTGTGTGTGTGTGACAGAGAGAGAGCGAGAGAGAGAGAGAGAGAGAGAGAGAGAGATGAATTATTTGTCTTTATAGTAACTTTATACGTGTATATTCCTACATAGTGTTGCATACTGTGCACATGGGTAGATTTTGAAGTTCATGCCAAATTAATTGTGTGTGTTTGTGTAGCTGTGTATGTGTGTGTTTATGGGGTAAGCTGACTTCCAGGGAAGTTGGCACAGTGCGCTAAGAACAAGGTGACTGTAGGAGGAAAGAGTGGCAAGGGAGCTGGAATGTGAGAACACTATTGCATACTGTACATCCATACACACAGACACACATACACACACACACACCAAACAACACGGTCACACCTTCACACACACAAACACCACACACACATACAGCACACAACTAGGGGTAGAGCTCAACTGACACATTGTCAAAATGTGTTAAAATTTCGAGACCCACTGGCGTGGCAACTGCAAGCTGGGGACAACATATGGTCTCGTCGACGAGGTAGTCCCCCCCCGCCCCTCCCCAAAACTCCTAGCATCACCCATTGCCTGACTCCCTCATTGGTGTTCATCACCTCATCCCTTCATTCTTCTTCCAAAACATGCTCTCACCCAAACAAGAGCCAAGACAAAAACTGTACAACCTAAAAGGCAGCAGCTCACATTATCTCTGAACAATTTAGTGATGGTGGTTTTGCCAAGCCGACAGGGAAACAAGAAATGTTACAGTACGCTCACTGGCTCCAAAATGCGCCCCCACCGTTAAGTTCCCAGCCAATTAAGATTACGCTGCAGTGGTGTTGGAGGCCCGTGTGCTTTTGCAAATACTGTATTTGTTAGCAGAACAGTTAAAATTTGTCAGTTTTTAATGATGACTAAGCCCCTATGTAAACATTTTAACTGGCATCTCAATGGATAAATGGAAATCAGAGAGGATTCTTATAAGACCACATTATTCGCAACGCTTATAGCATGATCAGATAATAGCACCTGGCTAAAGCACTGAGAGAAAAGCAGGACTGAGAGGTAATTAGGAGGGTAGAGCCATATGTCAGAAGGTCTGGTGCATCCCTACAAGAGAGACGGCGAGGATGGTGTGAACTTATTTTGGGGGACAGTGCGCTCCATGAGCCCTGGCGTTATGTGCCGTGGCATCTGGAAAGCTCTGCTCACAGCAGCCCCTGTGTCGAGCAATGGGACGACGCCCAACCGACCGTGAGATATCTGACCTGACCAATTAGCAGGAGGCCGGGTGCCAAAGCTCCGCCTCTGAGGTCTCACGTCTCCATCACCCCCCACCCCTCACCCTCCCTGTCTGGGGGTTATGGCACCCTACAGCACATGAGCACCACTTCTGTCCACTATTAGAGTTTTTTTTTTTTTTTTAAACTCTCACAGTGTTTTATCGCACCTTTTTATAAACTATGTTCTGCTCATCCCAAAAGTGATGATTATTCCATACTGTGACAACATTTGTCTGTTAACACCACGTTGTATCTTCTCCCCGAATTTTGCCTTGTTTGTTCCTGTGCTTATGTGGTAAATCAGCGCCAGACAGGCCATCAGGCTTGGCCTCTTCATGGAAGCAAAAGACAGTAATTCCAGTATTTTCTACACTCAAAATGTATTAGTGCAAGAGTCCAAGAGGCTATAATTAGTACCAGAATGTTGAATTATTATTGTATATTTGTAATTATTATATCTCATGATTAATGTGTACATTTCTGCCAGAACATGCAGAGGGTTTAAAAAAAAAAAAAGAAGATGGACATGGCAGGAAGGAAACAAACTTACACCAAATCAATCGGTATTCAAGAAAAATCAGTTTTGATCAACTATAGTTAAAAACATCAAATAATCGATCAAGATCAACGGCAACAATTATGAGGCAAAATAAAAAAAATAAAAAAAAACATGGGCTCCAAAAAAGGAAACATAAATAATTAAATTGCAGTAAGGAAAATGAAAAAAACTAAAACCATGTGTGACAGGTATTCACACTGGGATCTTGAAGCAATCTGTAGTTTTGGTCTTGTGTAGTCTTTAATGGAGGCATGTGCTATTTGTGTAGCGTTTTTCTTCTTCAGGTCACTTAGGAGTAGTTTGAATACATATATAAATTACTGAACCAGTACAACTTCACATACTTTATAACTTAATAGAACTATAAGGAAAATGTGATTTGGAGGATCAATAATTGTGTAAATGATTTTCTTGATCACAATTTCCTGTGGCAGAAGTTTTTTTAATTTATAATTTTCCTTCCTGACATTTATAGAATCTCATTAAATCACATAATAATAATAATAATAATCTCATTCAGATGTGATAATATTCATGGGATTTGGATAACCACTGGAGCTTTACTAAATTTAGTGACTCATTAATGATGAGTTGATCTGTTTAAATGATTGGATGAATTTATTTTCTATTGGCCATTCTCAGTAAGTTAATACATTTGTCTTTTAATATTTCTTTAATGATTCCAAATGTAATATAATGGCATTTGTATGCAATTAAATTCTGGCAGTATTTTTTCCCCGACATGATTGTATTGTACGTGCAATTTATGTAGTTTGTTAGTTAGTCTGACCTGTAGCAGCCCACACGACACACAATACATACTGTACATGACACAGTACTGTAATTTAATGAAGCAATATGCAAATTCCTGTCTGACAATGTGATGTTTAGGTTGGTTAGATTGTCAGTAGATTTAGATTGGCTAAACGGTTCAGTGGACAGGTGCGCTGGACAGCAGTTTGGTCGTCAGATCAGCGGTGTGACTGGCGGTGCACTTGACCCGCAGATCTGTATCTGATACACAGCTTCTGTTGGTGTGTGTGTTCAGCAAAGGATCCAGGTTAACCCGATCCAGAAACTGGATCTGTGTTCTCTGCTTGTCCAGCAGACCAGCAGTCTATTTGCCTGACTGCCAAAGGTCAGCGCTGAAGTCAAGGCAGGAACAATGAGAGAGGAGCGCTTTGAGTTGATGTGTGTGTTGTGTGTTGTGTGTGTGTGTGTGTGTGTATTTCTGCTAAACACTCATCTTATTATGCAGTGCATCTACCTTGAGAGTGACTTACCCGGGCTGTGTCAGTGTGGAGGAGCACAGGATTTTGCTGACTTATTTCTCTGTAATGATCTTGTCACTAATTGCCGTGTCTAAATCCAGCGTGACTGAGTGTTCCCGCTCTGCTGGCAGGGCCTCTGGGCCAATCATGTCAGCGGAAACTCTGAAATATTAAACACCTTGAGCTGCTCCATAAGTATTGGAGGTACTCTTACCTTTGCATTAACAACGCTTAAGAGTACGAGGGATAATAAGGCAAACTGGAGGAAAGGTGCATAATGGAAAAGCGATTCTCGAAACACGAATGATCTCACAACATTAATGCCCGTAGCTTCTTCTTCACTGACATCCAGCATTAGCATCATATAGAGAAATTAAATTAAGTACTTTGCTGTATCATAGAAACCCAGAGACATTCTGGGTGTTTCCTCTGCCACACTTCCTTTGAAAATATTTCATTGCATCTTCTGTTGCCACAGGAATCCACATACCACAGACGGTATGTTGGCCATATTAAAGTGCATACCATTGAGGCCGTGGGGCAGACGGCTCGGATGGGTCAAGCAGCCCGACTGACCCTCCTGAGCTTCTGGGAATGGGCTTTACTGTTTCCCTAGCGACCCCACAGCAACAGTAAGAGGTCCCAGCAATGTTTGGCTTCAGGATGTTGCAGCTCCACAGCTTTTGACAGGGATGTCTCAACCTGGGTGTTTGCTTTATGTTTAGTCTGAGTCTTTGTTTTCTTGCTAAATTCCCATTTTAGATAAAAGAAGGTCAAAAGCAATATTTGTTTTATTTGAAAGTTGTTGTTTTGTTTTTTTTTAACTTTTTGTGGTGTCTGGTTTTGCACCACCGACACAGCAACTTTTCACTTAAAATGGCTGTGGTTCATCATAACTGAAGTGGACAACATAGGTGGCCAATATAAGAGAAATCCTACTATGCCAATATTACTCCATTACTTAGGGATTTGCATGGATCAGTATTACAAAAAACTTCACATGAAGGTTTTATTTCTTTTTATCTTTCACTCATCTCTTCTGCTTCAAGTTTTTTTTTTTTTTTTACAATACACAGTAGCAAGAAAAAAACTTGAAGTACTGATATATAGTATTTTTTATGTGAAAACAAAAACGTGGAAAAAAAATCTGTCAGTTTCTCATGCCTCTGTGCTGACTGGTCCGGTGACCCAGTCAGGGCTGGAGACAAATGCCAGCTCCAGAATGATGACGCATCATCCTGCGTGACAGACCCAAAATGCCGCGGTGCCAGCCAGCGGACAATGGTCCTGCTGCTTGGGGGCTGGCTCTGTCTTTGTCCCGCTCTGGTTAAGCAGACTTAGGGATAATTCCGCGGATAATTCCTGGGACCGGCGGCTCAGCCTCTCCCACCGGGAGATCTGATTCCCCCCCTCTGCCTGGAGCCATGGCCTGCCGAGAGCTTTTCTCCTGCCTCTCCAGGAGCACAGCCTCGGACATGGCAGCCGGAGCCACGGCAACAGTCTCTGAGGCTAAGCTCACTAGTCCTGGTTGCCAGGCGCTAAGATGCACACCCGCCATGCTAAGGGTATGTGTCTGAGTGTCCAGGGCAGGGGGAGGAGGGGGAGAGGGGAGAAGTCAGGCTGGCAGTTGTTTTGAGTGACAGCTCGACTCAGCAACATTCCCCAAGTCAACCAAGCATGTTTTTTTCTCATGGTGTCCCTTCTTACTGAGGTGTGAAGGGTCCTCAAGTGTCTCAGCTTTACTCCAGCCCTAGTCAGCTAAACAAAAGCATCACTCTCTGTTATTTACTGAGCTCTCACAGTTTCTCTCCATTTCCTCCAATGGTTCCACCCCCACCTTCTCCTCCGTCTCTCCAGTCTGTTTGCGGTGCGTTGTGGGGGCTGCGCTGAGGCCGTCTCTCCTGCAGAGCTGGTGATGCGCGCAGGGGCCGCTGTGTTCCACCTGCGCTGCTTCACCTGCAGCGTTTGTTCCTGCCGCCTGCAGACTGGAGACCGCTGCGTCCTCAGGGAGGGACAGCTACTGTGTGCCAGAGAGGACTACCACCAGTGTCTGGCCAGCCCGACCTCCTCTGACACAGGTACAGGCTTTGTATGCGTACATTGTGTGTGTGTGTGTACATGTACACTACAAATCAGTGCGTCAGAACAGACTCAGTGCCAATGCAACAGTGGGGACAAAACCACGCAAGACACTGGCTCTTTTTGAACCTGTCTTTGTGTTTTTTTTTTTTTAATTACTGTTGGGTTATTTATCTAAATTAAAATATGTGTGGCAGTGAACAGTTCTAATATGATGTCACCATATGTTACTAATATGTGTATCGTGCATATGCACATTGTTTTGTACAAATAAAACAGTAAATTGACAGTTTAAAGGTAACACTTGATGTTGTAGTATTTAGTACACTGGGTCAGAATAACCATATTTTAACTTGAGTAAATAGCCCAACAGAAATATATATATATAAAAAAATGAGTCACATATTGAATGTGTGTTACACAGTGTCAAACGGGGTCAAAGTTTAATCCAAGTGTGTGTTATTCCTGTAATTTAGAAAGATAATAGGAAGAGATAGAACTCCTTTGCTTTTAATATGTAGGACTGTAACTAATACTATAGGGTTTTTTTTCTATCTACTGATTAAGAATGCAAGTTGTTAAGGGACATTCTAGGTTATTGAAAGGTATTCTGGGAAATGTAGGAAACCTCAAACTGAAGCAGTGATCAGGCAAATTGAGGGAAAGTAGTTAAACTGAAAAAAGTCATAATCACTCAATAACTACGTACAACTAATGTAGTGATCATCTTATATTAATGGCATCAGTTTTCCATTAAATCTGTCTCTCAATAATTGTAATTTTTTGATGTGAGTGACTTGTAGGTAAACAAACATTTCGATCATGTCCATCCACTAGGTAAAAGTGATGATGAGGAAGAAGAGGAGGAGGAATCTGGGAGAGTCACCGGTAGACGAGTTAGATCAGAAGACCTGGACAGCAAACGTCCTAAAAGACCTCGCACTATTTTGACCACTCAACAAAGACGGACCTTTAAAGCCTCCTTTGAGGTTTCATCCAAGCCTTGCCGAAAGGTAAAGTGTTTATCCTGTGTCTGCCCAGTATGTCTGGATCTACTGTGGATACTAAGAGAATCTTGTCATTTTAATGAGAGTACAATGTAGACGAATCTTAGGAATTAGCATGGAATAATTATGGAAACTGGAAGTGTCCATTTTTTAAAGTTTAACAAAAATTATAGTATATTTATCTTTTTAAATGAAGTCCACAAATCGTACGAGCAACTACAGCAGTGGAGAGAATGTGGACAGAAAAACATTATATCATGTCACAATGCAAAGACATTGGGTTATTAGGTTAGCCATGAAGTCTGACACAATTTCATCTACTGCATATATATTACCACTGTTCTGCTATTGGACATATTGTATGGGTAAATATGCTACATGAAAGTAGAGATATTTAGAAAGTGTTATTTTCTCAAACAATAAATTTCAAAAATGTTTTATCCCTTCCTCCTCGTTTGAGGTGGACTACTGTAGTGATACTGATGTTTTTAACCTTCAACTGACCTCCTCTCTCTTTTTATTTTCCTATTTTTTTTTCATCCTCCCTTTCTTTCTTTCTTTCTCCTTCCCCCCTGAATCTTAATCCAAGGTAAGGGAGACCTTGGCAGCAGAGACCGGCCTGAGCGTCCGGGTAGTGCAGGTCTGGTTCCAGAACCAAAGAGCCAAAGTAATACAAAGTACACACACACCCACACACACGCACACACACACACACAGTCATATGCGCTACTAATAAAAGGACTCTGTCTGCACTGTATTTGTATGCCAGAGTGGAAATCAGCCTGGTTATCTCTTCATACAGGAAACTGATGACATCTCACTGCGAGATCGCTGTAGATTAAACCCCATATTTCCTCACAAAGTGGGCTCATGTGTGGTTTCCCTCCTCCACTGAAAGATGTCCTTTACCTCGCTGTTAATACTTTGCAATTGTGTGAACACACTCGTATGCCTGGGTGGCAGAGGGACTGTGTGTGAGTGAGAGGGAATTTTACGATAGACCCGTGTGCACAGTTAGCTGTAATGTCTGGTGATGCTTGTTTTTAGATGAAGAAGCTGGCCAGGAGACAGCAGCAGCAACAGGAGCAGCAGCAGACTCAGGAACACCGTGAGCACCCGTCACATCATACAGGTATTATACTGCTGAAAAATCTTTTAACAACTGTTTCAATATCCACAAATTATTCATGATATTTTCTGTGTATGTCAGGAAAAAGTTACACTAGATGTTCCCCTTCCTGCTCGGTGATTGGGAATTGATTTCCAAAGTGAAATAAAAATCTACATATGCAGTAAAAATTGATTCAAGATGTTAAACAATATTTTGTAGAAGAGCAAGGATGTCTTTCAATGTAACAAATCAATATTACAAAGGTAAAAAAAAATGTCTGACACAAGTCTGACACGTGAAAGTCGCGAAAGTTCATCATCAACAGAGCTCTAAATAGTTACGGCAAAAGCTCACCAAAAGTCATTAACAGACAACAGTGAACCGTGTTTGTGTCCTGTGTCCCACAGCGCCCTCCTGTGGTGGTTTGACCTCTGAGATCGAGCGCCTGGGGTCCTCTTATTCCCACATTCAGCAGCAGCAGCAGCAGCAGATGGGGCTCACCACACTGGAGCAGCAGGACTATGACATGGACCCCTTCAGACAGGGTCTGACCCCACCTCAGATGCCAGGGGATCACATGCACCCCTATGGTAAAGACCTCAGTGCTGCTGTCATACCACGATGGAGAGTTACATGTTCACAGTATTCCTCTAAACCTCAGTGATTAGTGAGATAAGAGAAACCAAGTAAAAAGACATGACTTTATGGCATTACATTTGGCATTATAAAATCTGAACTTAAATCATGAGATTTCAATTTATTTTTTAAATATGGGTTCCAGTCAGCTTCAGCATTGTAGCTGTGGTGTTTCCTGTGGTGCTGCTCTTTGTCCTCATGCTGCAGAATAACTTAAATATTAAGAACTATTTCCTTTTCAGGCCGGCTGAAATGTTTAAATGTAAATCATTCTAGATTTTAGGGCAATATTTTCCCTGATGTTTACAAATGTATTTAAAATGTAGCTAATATTGCTCAAAGGAGATCAGCAAACATTTCTAAAAATATTTTCCAACTTTAAAATGTGTGAAATTACCAGTAGCAGATGTTTCGGGTTGCATGACCTTGTCAGGCAATTTTCAACAGACTTTTCCAACTGTTCAAAATCATTTTAAAGGTAGCCAAGGTTAATTCTTTCAAACTCCCCTCAGATCCAGAGAAAAAAACGAATGAATGATCGGATTATACACGAGGTATTGATAAAGCAGTGATGTTGTCTCTTTTTTAGGCTTTAAGGGCCTGTACGGTGACGTGGACAGAGACCCTCTTTGTCATGTGGCTGACAGCGACTGCCTCGCCCTGGGTGACTCCTCTCTACTTACTCCTATTGACCGCCTCTACTCCATGCAGGACTCTTACTTCACCTCCTGAGAGTGAAGATTGGACTCAGTAAGGAATGGTCCGTCTCCTTCACCCTGCGTCGCTCTCTGGTCTTGTCATTTATTTCTGTGGACAATGCGCAAGGTAGTTGAGGAAGTGGGTGGGGACGTGGGTACACTGTGACACCATGCAATATACTCTAAATCAGTGGTTATCAGGCTATTAGAGGGTGGATATATCATGTGCACCTCCATTTAAACATAATTACACTACTGCCTCTTATGCTTTACAATCCCACTGTTCAACACAGGCTCTTTAAAGTCTCCTGTGTATGCATGACACTGTCGGACCTCTCTCACTATGTTTGAATGTTAGATTATGAGATTATAACTGCATCTACTAATGTAAATAGCCGTTTGGGTGTGTATTTGTATTTATTCTCACAATGTGTGTATGCTGTTCATCTTGAATGAACCAACAATGATCAATAAATAACGTTACGATACAGTGAACATTCAGAATGAGGTGTGTGGCACAGTAAGTATAAAGCGCGGACTGATCCGTCAGGATGAAGATGGGGTATTCATGCTGAGGGTCAGAGCTGGGTCAGTCCATCTTCAGCGCTTATCGGTCCAATCTAGGTGACAGGTCAGCGAGGCATCTTCCCCTGGCTGTTGGGTGGATCATCAGATTGTAAAATGCTGGGCTATGACAGCAGTATGGGTCAGTGGCAGGTAAGCATCACATCCACGCCGCCATCATCAACGCTCACATTGTGCTCCTCACGGTCAAAGTCCCTCGCTGCATTTTTCTGCCTTTTCCTTCCTCCAGTCAAAGCGGACTGGAAGGGGAAGGGGTGGGGGCGACCACCCAGGCACTGTGCCCAGCTGGAATGCACCAATCCTGGGGAAAGAGAGGTTGAGAAAACCCAGGCATTGGGGGGGGGGGGTTCCAGACAACGGAGGGGCTGAAAGCTGTGTCAGGGGAGAATGCCCAGGGTGACACAGAGATATGAAGCCCCACTGTATGGAGTGCCTCCTTGCCCCAGCCATGAACCCTCTCTTGGACCCATCTCATGTATCCCACTATGAAATCAGACCTTGCAGAGCAGAGAGCGCAAGTCAATGGTCAGGAACAATCTAACTGTCTGTCACCGTGGTATGCTACTGCCAACCAGAGCTAAAGAAGTGTGCAGCAGAGTATACTGTGTGTGTTTCTTTGAGTCTGTCTTTGTATCTGTGTCTGTATCTGGTCTAAGTGTCCGCTGGCATGTGCACGTGTGCGTGCTCATGTGTTAGGAGGAACAACACTCTTTGTTGAAGGGACCTAAGTATCATAATGCATTTCCTTGTATCTTCAGAGGCAGATGAAGGGAGAAAAGCCAGACTTAAATATCAGGGAAGGAAGCCAACGTGGTCACCTGCGGGGGCCTTTTCCCTTCTTGTGCGCGAGTCCGTGCACAGTTGGCACGTATATATATGGCTGCCAGCAGCAGTGGGTGGGATGAGAAAAAATAATCAAAACGTGATCATACGGTCGCAGCGGGTAGCAATAACCTCATTATTATTCTGACGGTAGCCAAACAGTTTCCTGTCAACAGTTCGGTTATTTATTGCACTCCTCATGCCAGCCATAGGCCACAAACCCTCTGTCTTTTAACCGCTATAATTGGCTTCATGCTGTTGCAGCGCCAAGACAGATGCACACGCTTTGCTGAAGATACTTCATTGGCCATTTGCTGCACATATTTCTGCTGCATTATTGGCACAGGAGATTTTCATACATAATTAAACTGATTTACACTTAGATTTGTAGTACAAAATGTGTATCATAACTAATATATAACGCCACGTGAGTCTCAGTTCAAGACAGTTCAATAATCTGTAGTTAGTGTGGTGGTAGTAAATTGTTGGATAAGTTCCCAATGTGACACATTGAGCTGAGACTGATAATAGATCACCTCCACACCACTCAGTGACAGGAGCTTTCTGGCCATTAAATGTGCTAAATTGACACTTTGTGGCAGTTTGGCAATCTCAGAGGTTCTCTGCCATCTCCCCGACTGACCCCACAGTATTAGATCCTATGGAGGAGGTCGAATGTGGGTAACCAGGGCTGCTAGGGAGGGCACTGTACCACATTACACTGGACATTGCTTAAAGTATGCCAACACTGATCAATTACTTAATGTGAAGGAGTGGGTGAGTCAGCTAAAACAATAAAATAAATAAAAGCAACATTTCAAGGATGATTATAATTTATTGACAATTTAAGTGACAAGACGAGATGCAGGAAGCAGGAAACTGGAAAGGAGTAAAAGCTGCACACAAGCTGTACTGTACATCTACCATGCATGATTTTGATTTCTTTAAGTATAACAGAAGGTGAAGCTTTTCATGCAAAGTATACAGCAATTGCTTGGTTAAATAAATTTAAAGCCTGCCATCAAGCCTCACATAATAATAATAACAGCAAGCATTAAGTGGTTTCAGTATTTGAAATGATTTGCTGCAAAAATCAGAAGTCTCAAGAAAGAACAAAAAGAAAATCAAAAATCAAAACTCAAATGCTGGGTTCTCTCTTTCTTCCCACGATGGCCCGTCATACGTGATTGCATGTCCTGCAAAGATCAGAGGATAGGATGAGGGCAGCAATCTGTGTGTCACAACATCGTACATGTGTATGTGTGAAGCTGTACGCCATCATTACTGAAGCTCTCACCTCTTTTCTTAGATCGTGTCAAAATGAACAAAGCCAAAAAACCCAGTCCTATCAGGAGAAGTGGCACAAGAACAGAGGCTGCCCCGGCTCCACTGTTCATCAGCATGGCAGCCCCCACCGGAGTAGCTTCTACAGGAACACACAAACATTTTCAGGCTTCAGTCTGTTGTTCTCACTGCATATTTCTTGTCATGATTCTATGATGTGTGTGTGTGTTTTTAAGATCTTTATCAGTCCTTCAGTTAATAAATAACCACCACCGCTCTCATAGTGCAAAGACTGGTAATACACTGCTATCTTCTTGGAAAAGTGAACAAAGGATCAGTTTTAATACAAACTTTACCCGTGCAGTTAGGAAGGCTGTCACTCCAAAACCCAGCAGAGGAGCAAAGCAGCACATCAGTGCCATTCAGGGAGAATCCACCTGTACAGGTAAAAAGACACTGGGAGCCAAAGCTGAAATGCCCCAGAGGGTGGGAGCAGTTCATAGACAGGGGTAAAGACGAGGCTGGGATGGTCTCACACTGTACCGCTGGAAAGGACAGAAATTGGAATTAGACCAGCTGTTTGAACACCAAGACAAAACTAGTACATTTAAAATAATGCTGCACACTCACGCTGGCAAGTGGGTAGATCCTGACTCCAGTGGCCTGAGTTTCTGCATGTCATTGTTGGTGTCCCCCTCAGCCAGAAACCCTCATTACATTCAAAGCCACAGCTGGAGTTGAGGCTGAATGGGGAGAATGGATGGCTACAGTTCATCCTCCCGTGTTGTGGAGCTTCGGCCAGTAGGGGGCATGGACGTGCTGCAGATAACATTGAACATACAGTATGACCACCAGCCTCAACAAACAAACCTCATTATGTGAAACAAAGCGGGGAAAGGAGGGTATTTCCCAGTATTTTCCCAGATTTCCCAACACCGATTCCACCTTTGGGAAGTTAATGATGTGGGTTTTTCTGTTGCTTATGATACAAGTAAATACATCTATAAATGCATGTATGGAGCCACATTCTAAAGCACAGGTGTATAATACGATACAGCATGCTCAGCAGGGGGGAATAAATGCCATAAGTGCCGTGCTCATATTTTGATTTATTACCCAGACAGCGGGCTATTTCTCTGCTCCTGAAATTGAAAGCTCTTATGATGATTACAATCAACAGATTATGACTTTTTCTTTTACCCAAGCAATGTGGGGTCTCTGTGCTCCACGTGCCCAGAGAGGTGCACTCAGTGTCAGCCGTCCCATTCAGGACAAAACCCTCCTCACAGGTTGATGTGCACCGAGAACCGAAACTGAACTCTCCATGAGGATCAGAGCAGGAGGAAGAGCCATGAGCGGGAGAGTTTAGAGAAGGACATTTCTTAGCTGGAACAGACAAAAGGAGAGATCAAGAAGATATTTTAATATGTGGGGGCTTTATGAAGCAAAGTGGCACTGGAATGCACAATCTAAGCCATGAGTTTAAGAGCTCTTACATTGATTTCTAATCAGCAAATAATAATACAGGGATTCATGTTTTTTTTTTTGTTGTTTTTTTTACCCAAGCAACGTGGGGTGTCTGTGCTCCACGTGCCCACAGAGGTGCACTCTGTGTCAGCCGTCCCACTCAGGACAAAACCCTCCTCACAGGCTGACGTGCACCGAGAACCGAAACTGAACTCTCCATGGGGAGCAGAGCAGGATGAAGAGCCATGAGGGGGAGAGTTCAGAGTGGGACATCTTTTCGCTGGAATAGACAGAAGAAGAGACAAACAAGATATTTCAGAGCTACATGTGGTAAAATGATACTAGACTAAGACATGACAAGGTCTTACAGTTGCATTTGCCTGATTATGACCTAGGTCTCTATCATTTATTACCCAGGCAACGTGGGACGTCTCTGCTCCACTTGCCCACAGATGTGCAATCTGTGTTAGCTGTCCCATTTAGGAGAAAACCCTCCTCACAGGTTGATGTGCACCGAGAACCAAAGTTGAACTCTCCATGAGGATCATAGCAGGAAAAGGAGCCATGGGGGGGGGAGTTCAGAGTGGGGCATCTCTTAGCTGGGGGAGAAACAGGCAGAGAAGGACTGTGATATCTAAATGCTTTACTTGGTAAATAAGTACAGTCATACCATCGAAACCATTCAATTAAGAGCTCTTCTGTTCATTTCTAATCAGCAAATGATAAAACAGAGATTTTTTTTTTTACCCAAGCAATGTGGGATGTCTGCACTCCACGTGCCCAGAGAGGTGCACACTGTGTCGGCCGTCCCATTCAGGAGAAAACCCTCCTCACAAGTTGACGTACACTGAGAACCAAAACTGAACTCTCCATGTGGATCAAAGCAAAATAAGGAGCCATATGTAGTGGAGTTCAGAGCGGGACATCTTTTAGCTGGAGGGCAACAGAGAGAGGGAGAGTCCAATAAGATATACTTTATGTGATAAAGTGGTGCCAGAATCTAAACCATGAATTTACAAGCTGAGCTACAAGTTGACTACAGTTAACAGCGGCAGGATGCAGACAGTTAGTATTTTCTTTACCCGAGCAGTGTGCGATGTCGGCGCTCCACATGCCCAGAGAGGTGCACTCAGCGTTGGCTGTCCCATTCAGGAGAAAACCCTCATCACATGTTGTCATGCAACGTGAACCAAAACTGAAGGAACCATGTGGGTCAGAACAGGAAAGGGAGCCATGAGGGGGAGAATTTATGGGATTGCACTTCTTAGCTTGTAGGATGAAAGACAAGGACAGACCAATTAGATGCACATTACACGTACGAAATTAAAAAAAAAAAAACTAAACTGACTGTTTATTTTAACAAAAAGCTGAGCAGTAGGAACAGATTGTGTGATATGTACTTCATTACTTAGTCATCTATGCTCATACCCTGGCAGACAGGAAGTGTGTGACTCCAGCTGCCCTGTGAAGAACATTGTGTCATGTTTGTGCCAATCAGATCAAATCCTTCTTCACATTGCACGGTGCATATTGAGCCATAGCTGTACACTCCTAAAGGGTCCTGGCATTGGACGGAGGCATGGGGTGGAGCCTCCAGACTGTTGCACTGTACCACTGGAGAAGAAGAAACACTATTACTCATCAGAGCAGTGAACAGTTTTGTGTTGCTTTCAGAGAACCAATGAAATCTCTGTAACCATTAAAAATCGCACAGAAATTCAGTGACCCACCAGTGCATGTAGGTGTAGCTTTGCTCCATTGTCCTGAAGCCAGACAGGTGAGCGTGCTGTCTCCGGTCAGGTTGTAGCCTTCCTGGCAGTTGAAGTTACACCGTGAGCCAAAGGAGAAAGGCTCCAGAGTGTCCACACACGTCACGTTGCCCGTGACAGGAGAGAAAATGGGGGAGCACTTTTTTACTGTGGTGGGATACAGATATCACACAGTCACACTCAAAAATCAAATCAACATCCTTTTGAAATGTATCAGTTTGAACCACCGTGCATTGTGACTGCTTTTATACACATAGCATGAGCATAAGATGGTGATGTGAACAATCACGCTGACATGATTTATAGTCAAGGAAAACAGCAACTGCCAACCTGCATTAAATCGCAATATTGTTTGCCCAACACAGACATAAATGAGTGTGAAGTAAAGTGGTGATAGGTGTGACCTGCCTCTGATCTGCTGCACTGTCTGGACAGGATGTGACTGCACATTGAGTCCAGTAAAAATATTCGTAAAAGGTGGCAGTGGCAATCTATTACCAGGGGTCAAGTAATATATAAAAAGTATTTCACATGAACATTTCACGAACATTAAATTGTTACATTTTTAATCGGGTTATTTGGTCTAATTTTACTATTCAAAGGTAAAGAGAATCACTTTACTTGTACATGCTGGGACACTGGCAGTCCACCGCCCAGTGTGTTCACAACGCATCTGGCTCCCTCCACTGAGCTCATAGCCTTCATCGCACCTGACCTCACAGGTGGAGTTGTAGCTGTAAGGAGCGATGGGGTGGCTGCAGTTCATACCACCTCCACTGATGTTAGTGTGGTTCAGAACTGGGCACTGTTCAACTGCAAGAGGCAGTAAAAAAAAAAAGTGTTTTCCTCATAACTTTGACATCTGAAATAACAATTATTTTCACATTGTTGTTACACAGTGGCCATACCTTGACACAGAGGAACTGGGTTGTTCCAATGCCCACTGGTTTGGCACAACAGTTGGGGCGAGCCTAACAAGCGAAAGCCAAGTTCACAGTGAAAACGGCAGGAAGAGTTGAAACGATTGGACCCATAGGGATGAAAACAGTAGTGAGAACCTTGTTCTGGTTCCAGCAAGGGTTTGCATGCGATTGCTGAAGAGAAAAAAAAAAACAACAAAAAAAAAACAATTTTTTTTTAACTCATCACAGAAAGAGCTTGTGGTTGGTTCCAACATGATGACACTGTTTGCTCACCCTCCTCACAGCGTGGCCCATGGAAACCAGGATGACACTGGCAAGTATAGTTCCCCACGGTCTCCACACAGTCTGCATGGGCACTGCAGGAATCCTGTGTACAAGAGGCTACATACATGCAGACAGAGATCTTATATGCTATAATAAGTCTACAGGGGTCAGGTAAATATGTCCATCAAACAAAAAACAAAATTAAGAGTGGTTTACCTGAGTAGCAGACAGTTCCCTTCTTACTTTGGCATTTTTCATTGTTCCACTTGGCTGTGTCTTTATCCCTCTTAATGTAAATCTCCACACAGTCCTGACCCACAATGTTATCTGGCTCCTTTGGCGCCCAGTTCTGAACATCCTCTAGCACAGTCTCATTGTTTCCTTCCCTGGTCCACACTCCATCCACTTTGTGAATGCCTATCCAGTAATATTTCTGGTTAAATGGCAGCAGGTTGTTGATGAAGTCAGTCTCCTCCGGGGTCTGGATGGTTACCATGTTTGTCAAGTGCTGGTGGCACCACTTGCGGGCCTCATGCCATCTCCGGTTTGGGGTGGTGCTGTAGCTGTAGGTCCATGCCTGCGCTCCTCCTCCGCGGCTCAAGTCTAAGATTAGGTATATGGATGATGAGACAAAAGTGAACTGGTGAAGCAAAGTGTTTGCTGCTTGTAGGATTATGCAGACCTACCTTGGGTAAAAACAATCAGTGCGGCGATCAGCATCCTGTGATGCAGACTTGATTCTTGAGACATCTGAAATAAAATGAGAATTATTTTCACATAATTTCTCACGAGTGTAGAGTCACAGTATGTATTCACACATGCACAACACTTGCACTGAGAGTTTATGTCTTACCATTTGATCTGTCTTCAGTCACTCGCTCTTGTCGACACTCACTCCACTTTGCTGACGATCAATGGCAAAAACAGCATTAAATGTCCCTCAGGGAGTGAGCCAGTGACTCATTTTGTAATATCACTTACCATAACTTCCTTTTATGAAGGGCACCACTCTATCACCCATAACACACACATGCACACACATACAAATACTTATACAATGTATTTTATTGAATTCAATTTCTGCCACAGAAATGCAGCTCTTATGTTATTAAATGCATTTTTGAGGTTACATACACATGACCTGATAATAAACCATCACATACACACCCATACACTAATGATGCAGCATATCCAGATTAAGCTTTAACATATAGTATAGTAGACAAAATGCTGAACTATCTTGGCATATAGCCTGTGCAGCCAGTGACAGTAGGTTTATTTATTAACAGTGTACTATAATTAATATGAGTGATTGCATTTGGGCTGTTATAGATATATTCTAATAAGATATAAGTAAGGTTCCAGTTGTCCTTCATCCGTGCACCTCACTGGATGGACTTATGGCTTCTTCAGGCTGCCTATGAGGGACAAGCAGATCAACACTTACTCTCCACATTTTCAGTAAATCAACTTTTTAAGTGTTGAAGATCACACACGGTGCATAAAAGGGTGGAGCAGCTTTGGACAAGCACCCAATTTCAACACTGACCTTACTTGGGTAAGTTTCTTTCCTGTGAGAAATGAACGGACAAACAGATCACTATTGAAGTGTTGCAATAAGATTGCATTGTATCTCTTGTTTCTATGTAGTGTAATTGAGAAACACTGACTTTTTCTGCGTTTCATCCAGCAAAAACAAATGCAGCAGAAGGCTGACAAAGCTCCACACCCAGCCACAGCCAACAGAGCCTGTTTATAGCCTGAAAAACAAATATAGTCAATCTCTGGAATACAGTCACTCTCTCCATACAATACTTTACAGTGTGATATTTCAAGTTACTACCATAATACTGTTGTTGTTGCCCATTATAATAATGATTCTTTAGAAGCAGCAAAACAAGTGCTATGTCTATACCTGCCTTGGTTTTGGTGTATTTATTCTTATTTAAAAATATGTTATAAACTTTTATATAACTTCAAATAATTACTTGTACAAATTGGTCTTGGGCCACTCCAAGCCCCAGTGGCCCCACAGGTGACACTCGCTGAGCCCATCAGCAGGAAGCCGAGGTGGCATTTCAGTTGACAGGTTGAGTTAAATGTCTGATTTCCTCCTAAGCAGCTAAAGTCTCCGTTATCAGGCTGAGGCAGATGGGGGCATTCCACAGCTGTGGGTACAAAACAGGTCAAAGGTTAACAGGGGTACAGTTATGTAATATCGTACGATAGCTTTGTATTGTGAAAATAACACATTTTTTAGACCCCATACAAGCTGATGTAAGTAATTTTGATCAGTATTTTGAACATGATCCTTAGCTTGGCCTCAGGATACAAAGGAAACAGATGCATTTTCCTTCATAGAACTCTTGTAAAAAAAAAAAAAAGAGAGAAAAAAAAGAGAAAAAAAAGAAACTAATGTTCTGAAGAAGAGCAGTATGAGTCCGTGAACTTATGATGCCCACAGGGTGTAGATGGCAGGCAGGAGGATCCAAATGCAGGCACAGAGGAGGCAGCTGAGACTCAAACTTACAGGCAGTGCAGGCAAGAGCATATGAACCGGAGTGACACAGGCAGAAACAGAACAGTCCAGAAACTCACAGAAACACGAGAATGCAGTAATGACAAATAAATTATAGAAAAAAAGAAAAAAAAAAGAAAAGAAAAATCAACAGCCCAGAGGCGAATTGTGACAGAAATATCCTGGTTGGTTAGCTGCTAAATGAGAAGAGTTAGTAGTCATTGTCATTTTCTCATCTCCTGGCAAAGAATCGTCAGTATGGAAAGGAATAACAGCCACCAAAAACTGTTTCATTGAACATTATGGGCATGTGACTATTAAGATTAACTTGAAAAAAATTAACCTATCCTTTAAATAAACATCACATACTGTTTAACAGTAATACTGTAATAATAATTTGTGACTTGTTTTCAAAGAGCTCTCTCCTCACCTGTTTGGCACCTGTCTCCCTTAAAGCCAGTTTCACAGAGGCAGGTTATGTTTTTTATGGCCTCCTGACATGTTCCTCTGCCGCATGATGTTGCATTACATTGGGCTGTTAAGAAAAAGGTGCAATACTAAAACCTTTATCGTTTGTGAAACCGTAACAACCTTTAAAAACAATCAGCCTTACATACCTTTATAACAAACAGGGCGTTTTCCATGGGAACATTTCTCATCATTCCACTTCCCTCTGTTTTTTCCTTTTTTGATGTAGATCTCCACACAGAACTCTGTGCTGTGGTTGTTGTTGGGTTCGTTTTCTGCCCACGACTCATTACCAACCCATGTGCTGTTATTCCCAATCCAGGTCCAAGTTTCATTCATGTGGTTTTTGGTGATTCCAATCCAATAATATGGACTTCCTTGTCTCTCTGGCAGGTAGGATACCAGATAATCATTCTCAATTTGGCTTTGGATGACCACCATGTCTGTGTAATTAGACTGGCAATACAGCCGGGCCTCGGTCCAGTTCATGGTTTTATTTGAGTAATGATACGTCCAGCCCAAAGTAGTTACAGCCAAGGAGCTACCTGTAAGAGGATAATGGGATGACAATTCACCATCAGATGTGACAGAGTTCATGCACATTTGTGTTATGTATCGTGTCAACTCAGCAACTATACATTCTGTCATAGTATTAAAACTAATACTCACCGAGGAGGAAGAATAGTGTCAACTTCATTATCAGGGAGCGACCTACAATCATCGGTTGTCTGTCTGAAGAAAAAAGATTTTTGAAAATTAATATCATCATGAAAAATGACTGAATAAGAAATTAATTACTCACCTAGAATTGGTATTATAGCCTAATATATAAACAAAATGTTCTCTAAATTGTTTAAAACACTAGTAAACTTAAATCATAATCTTTCAGCTTTCATCAAACTTACACCACAGGGGCTCAGTAAGTGAATGTTAGTTTGGTGCAATCAGGGATCAGTGTCAGGCTTTTATATTTCTCCTAGGCTAAGCAATCCAACATTATCATACAATAGCTGGATGTTTACTGTACAGAGTAAATGCATGTGATGAATGATTGGCTTAATGACTTATCATACATGAACAGATTTGTTGGGAAATGCTACCTGCTTTTGGTAAAGGTGGGATCAGGGACAGATTATTCAGTCATGCATGAAAAAAAATCTATGAAAGGGAATACAAACAATAAAAAAAAAAGTATTCTAAATTTAGAGAATGAACTATTCCCAACATTTTTTTCCCCTATTAATTGCATGTTCATTGCCACTTTTGCAGCAATGTTTTGCTGATCAATTCCTTTATGACCCTTTGGCTTTACTAGTGTATTGAAAGTATATTGCACCATGAAATTCAGCCTTTCACCTGTTAAAATGAGGGTTTTTCAGTATCCTTTATGGATGGTTTTTAGTGAAATTACTGTTCTGCATGCTAACGTGTTATAAATCCAAGTTTTCAACAGCAACAAATTACAGAGAGACAGAGTGCCCATGCTGTCGCCTCCAGTCTGATGTAAGATATCAGATGTATTTCTGGTCCTACTAAAGTGCTGACATGGAAGAAAATTCACTGAGGCAAACAATGGTGATGATTTGTAAAACAGATTACCCCAGTTGTTATTCAGCTATCCTGCTCTGTCCTGACCTCTGCAATGGGGTGACAGAGACAGATAAGAGGTCTGTGTTGTATTTGGAAAAGGTTCTTCCTGCACCCCTGAAAAAACACACGATGTCCTGCAATTTCAGGGTGAATGTCACTGTGCTCAAAGTGTGGGAATATCATTGGAGTTAATGGCTGAACCTTTGTACTGGGGCAGCGCTGTAGTCACACAGCAATATATATCTTTCTGAACTGACAGTAGATATGGGTCATCATACTGAAAGATGCATAGGAATAAACAAAAGCAAGTGATGGTTTGAAATTTTATTATGAATAAAAGTCAGCACTGCTTTAAACATACAGAAATATCAATATCAATTTCAAATGCATTAACTACCTATTAAATAAAAATAGCCCATAAATACAGAAATTATTCACAGTTCTGCAATAGCATGACAATCCGCCCACAATGTTATGCAGCATTTACAATAACATGGACAGAGCCATGCACCTTTCCAGCATTTTCATGAAGGGGTTGAACAATATGTTCAATATAAAACTCCCTTTGGGAGGAAATACATGTTTGAACACCATTACAGAGCGAATAAATGATCGTTTTAAAAATTGCATAAAACAAAAACATGATAATACCATTAAATGCAAAGATCTAAAAGAAAACATTTCCTCTCATTATTGACATCTCTGACATGCTGGGTTTTACTGTTAACAGGCTTTACACTGTTCAAAATGATTCATATTGTTCACGTTACCATGTCTGGTGACACACATGCAGTTATGTTAAAGATATAGGCCTATATAGTTGTTCTTAGCTGCCTGTGAGGATTATGACTGTGTTCTATATGAGGCTGTCAGTGCTATTTTTGTAGAACTGTGGAGGAGCCTCTATGTCGGAGTTGCTGTAAGAAAAGACAAAAGAAGAGGATGAGCACTGCAATCCAACAAACTTTTTTTTTCAGAAAACTGTATGATTTAAGAAAGGTGAACGTTTATCTAACCTGTTCAGCTCAAACTTGGTTGCTTTCTTCTTAAGTCGTTTCAGGACCCACATGGCAACAGACAGACCAGATAACAGAGCGCCTCCTGTGGCCACACCAGAGACGATGGCAGTAACCTGAGATGGGGAAGCTGTGGAAACATTATCAAACGTGAATTATTTCACCTTTTAAATGCAAACTCATATTTGAATCTTGTATTGTATTTAAATTTCTCATAACATTTGTTCCTTTTCTGTGTTTTACCTTGGCAGGTGGGTCTCTGTCCGGTCCAATTGCCATGACGATCACAGGTCAGCAGCTCATGTCCATCTAAGGAGTAATCTTGACTGCATGTGAAGGAGCACTGAGAGTTGTACTCTTGGTCTTTGTCTGAGCAGTTGATTTGACCATTTTCAGGGGCCTCGAGCAACGGGCAACTTACAACTGTTGGAAAAGAGAGCGAGAATTAAGATTTTAATTATCACATATTGGAGTCATTTTGTGAAACTAACCCACTACCTCAAAACATTTGAGCATGCAAATAAAGTAGTGCAATACAAATTGTGCAGATAAAACGGGTACATATCTATACCTTTGCAGGTGGGTGGTGTGGAGTTCCACTGGCCTGAATGTCCACACTCCATGCTGAGTGCACCTTCAAGTTCATGGCCTTCATCACAGCTAAAAGTGCAGAAAATACCAAGTGGATGGGGGGTCTCGGTGGACACAGGTGAAGACAGGGTAGCGCTACAGCTGATGTGGCCATTTGTTGGAATCTCAGGTGCAGGACATTCTATTGCTATAAAGGAAAAATGGAAGAGATGTCATGAGGCACAAAATCAGAGCACAAATAGGCTGTGAAAAAGCTTTGGGTAAGTAGTGTGTAGTATATAAAGATTTATGAGACTATGATATGCTTCCATACCTTTGCAGGTAGGTATGGCTTTACTCCATTGTCCGTCCTCAGAGCACTGAATAGTCTGCACTCCCTGCAGTTCAAAGCCTGCTTTACAGCTGAAGCTGCAGGTGGAGCCAGGCTTCAGTTCAGTAGAAGATGCGTTGCACATGGAGTTAAGGTGAATGTCTCCCTCTGGATTCTGGCATGTGATGGCTAACACAGGAAAATAAGTGAAAAAAAACAAATTACATTTAGTGTGTTTGTCACAAGGCAAGGAACAAAAAAACTCTTATTAATCACAAAGATGGCATACACTACATTTAAAGTGCGCCCTCACCTTCACAGCGTGGCATTCTCTCACTCCACTCAGCTGCTGATGTGCACATCAACATGCTCTCTCCCACCAGGTGGTAGCCGGGGGCACAGCTGAAGCTGCAGGTGTTTCCGTAAATGAACCTCACATCTGCATCTCCACAGTTGACAGAGCCATTCTCTAGCTCCTCGATAGCTGTGCACTGGACAGCTGCAAAACAGAGGGGGCAACAGAAGAGGTCAACAGCAGCCTTCTGAAAAAAAAATCATATAACTTTCCCCTTGCAATGACAGACTCAAATACAGCCGGAGATTAATGGAGACTATAAAATCCTGCAAGGTAAAAACATAAAATATGTGGGCGTACCAACACAAGATGGCTGTGAGGCATTCCAGCTTCCTGATGCTTCACATTGCAGAGTGTTAGATGTGGAACCAGTTTGCACAAAGCCTTCATCACAGGTAAATACACAGGTGGACTGGTAGCTGGAGGAACCCAGAGGATTGGAGCAATTCATGGATCCTCTTGCTGGACGAGACAACTCTGGACACTGAACCACTGTGGGTGACAGCACCATAAAAACACATTATGGCATGATCTATTACTGAGAATATAAAGCTCTGCTTCTCTGAATGTCATTACTTGAAATCAACGTTATATTTCAATGTATTATTTTAATTTTTTTGCAGCTTTGCAATACACCTCAACTCACGTTCACATGTAGGAGGCTGCGCTGACCACATTTTGGAGGCAGTGCATGTCAGGGGTGTTGGCACACTCAGCTCATATCCTTTCTCACAGGAATACTCGCAAGAGGAGTTGTAGGAAAATTTCCCATACTGATGAGTGCAAGTTACACTTCCTTTATATGGGACAGTCACCTCCTCTTTGTCACATTTAATAACTGCCGACAAAGAAAACATGAGAATTAGATATCAAGTCCTGACTGTAAGTGACTTCAAGTAAGGTGAACAAGCAGAACATCATTGTATTTCTTACCTTGCTCACACCTCTCTCCATAAAAGCCTTCAAAACAAGCACACTCGTGGCTGTTAATGGTTTCGACACATTCTCCATAGACGCATGAGTCATTCTTACAGGCAGCTGAGAAGAGAAGAAGTACATTCATATATCTTTTCAGTAACACCATCAATAAATAATTTAAACAGTTTAGTCACTAGTATTTTCTAATATTGAACAAGAATACCACAACTAAGGCAGCTAAAATGAACAGCTGTTGTATCCTAATCCAAAACTTTAGCTCACCTGTGTAGCACAGAGCCGTCTTGTTCTTCTCGCACCTCTCATCATTCCACTTGCCAGGCTGTTTTTCCCTTTTAATGTACATCTCCACACAATCCTCATTAACCCCCATCTTATCTCCATTCTTGCCATTGTTTGGTTCACCCTTTGCCCAGTTGGTTGCTTCTGCTGTCAGAGCCTTGTTGGTGCCGACCCAGGTCCAGACATTATCGACCTTGCGGATCCCAATCCAGTAGTAGGTGGGTTGCCTGGGAAGCCAGCTGTTGAGATGCCCAATCTCCTCCTGGTTCTGGATGGCCACCATGTCTGTGTAGTGCTCCCTGCACCAGGCTCTTGCTTGTTTCCAATTCATGGTGGTGTTAGAGTAGTAGTAAGACCAGCTCTCTACACAAGTCCACATGCACATCACTGAGGATGGAGGACAGAACATATATATTAGATTGTAAGCTAAGAAGTAAAGTAAAGTAAATTAGAGTAATATTTATAAGGAAAAAACTTTAAAGTAGGGCACTACAGGGTTTCTTTGCATTAAATTTACATACTTGAGCAAAGAAGGGTCAAGCTGATCCATGAGGAAGAGATCTTAGATCCACGGGTCTGAAGTAATCCAAAGCAGATCTCCTGTAAAAAATTAAGTAAAAAGAAAAAATTGATACACAGATTCATCATGGACTAAAAGCAAACAATGAAGTAATTTGCATGAAAGGCACCTGCATTTAAGCTGATACCTTCATACTCACCATTTTAAGTGGTGTGTGTAATAGAAGACTTGGAATTTATTTCGTCGCAGCTTATCTGAGGTTGAGATGATTGTGAAGTTTGATGCGCTGAGGCACCTCCTTTTAAACACTTCATTGGTCTGATCCTGGTTTCCTGGAAGCTCAAATCACAATAGGGATTTTCAATGGAAATTCCCACAGCCCCTCAACTACTACTTCATCCCACCGGGGGGGGGACTTGGAAACTTTCCCTCTCTTTTTTTATGGCCACACTATAAAGCCAAAAATCCTTTGTTTTAGGCAGAATTTCCTGTTAATATAATTCTTATCATTATTATGATATTATACTTTCACTAGTGGAAATAAAGTTTATTTACTTGAGCTTACTTTTACTTTTCTTTTTTTTAACTGCATTTAAGTAAATTTAAGTTTTAGTTGACTATTTCCATTTTACACCACTTTATACTTATACTCAATCACATTTAGAGGGAAAATTTATTCTTTATTCTTTACTTACATTCATTACATTTGTTTGACTGCTACAGTTACTGGCTACTATTAAGATATAGATTTTCATGTAAAACATATGATGGACTTATAAAATATAATGTATTGTTTAATCTACTCAGAAAAACATAAATTTGGAGAGTCTAGCTGAATCAACTATAACTGCTTAAACTGCTATTCCACCTAATGATACATTTCATTTTGACACCAAAGTACATTTTACTACAAATACTTTTAATGCAGGACTTTTACTTGTAATGTATTTACTTTTCCTTTTTATATTTAGTTGTAATTAGTATTTTACTTAAGCAAAGCATCTAAATGCTCGCCAAATGTGGTGATGAGCTGATAGGGTACAACTGTGCCAAAAACCTTAAATTAGCACATGTGGCAAAGACAAAATAACCTGCCAATCATAAGAAACTGATAAGTTTCTGGGAAAGGCACATTAGCACAAAGCATACATATAGAAGCATGAGTAAAGTGAAAAGTGACTAAGTGAGGAAATTACAGTTGGAAACTGAAATGCTGTCTGCTGATAAGACAAACTGTCTGAGAATGATTAAAATTATTCTCACTGTTTCCCCCTATTTGGATTGGAGACATTCTTCACAAAATGAAAGCAAATAATGTTTTCTTCACCAACACTAATGAGACTCTTTTGTTTCTGTAAAGCACTTTGAAGTTTGATTCAGTCAGAATGATTCAGTCTGGCTATTTAGTGTGCCACCAGACAAGGCAAAGACTGGAACATGCTTTTGACATAAGGAATTGACATGTCCTGTCAAAGGATGTGCTCATCTAAAGAGGAAAGCTGGAAAAAAACACACTGCTATGCCAGCTAACAAACATTTTTTTACTGGTATTCTTTATGAGTGTCCAGAGACAGGAAATATGTGGTGCAGGAGCAGAGGCGCCTGCTGGCTGCATTGGCTTCTCAAAGTGATAGTTCACATCCTTCCTTTCTGACCTGAAGTACAAGACACAGCTGCTGTTGTTTGACACCTCTTAACCTCCACCCCTTCCCTGAAAAATAATATAAACTCTATAATTAACTCGTACAGAATAAGACTCAAGGGAGAAAGTCAGTTCCAGCTAAGATTGGAATATCCTTTACAAATGATGTTTGTGCTCTTAGCGGCTCTGCTGAACTAATTTATGTGGGTATTGGCCTAACACAACTATGAAATTACCATTAAGACTACTGTATTCTGTTTATTATTCTACACACTGTGTGTAAACTCTATAATTAACTCTACACACTGTGTGTAGAATATTCAAACACCTGCTAATGCATTTGTGCTGCACTTTGTTTCTTACTACAATCATTAAAAACATTCAAAACTGAATTAAAGACAGTCTGTCTTATTGGCCATGATAGAGCTGAAGACTCTTTCCTGTGGAGAGGTTTGTGACTGTTGCATGAACTTTTGACTTTTTTTGGCTCCAAATTAAAGGCTGCAGGATGGATTATGAGCTAAAGAGATCATTCAGCGACCAGATGTCCAAGCACCTGTGGCAAAACATCCATCCTGCTATATTCTGAAGTATTCTTCAAACAAAAAATACATCCCTACTGACTTCAACTTTGACCTCTGATCATCACCACCAGTGGAAGATCTTTCCCTGGAAAGGAAATGACAAGTCAAATAGAAGGATAAAAGATAACATTTCTAAGGTAGAAAAACAGTATTTGCCATCATTGCTGGTCTCTTCTGTTTGATACAAACTGGATAACAACATCAGCTACTTGATTTTAGGGTTTGAGGACAAATTCAAACAGTTACGTCTTGCTGCCATATGGGAGCGCGAGCGTGCAAACTCGCCAACAGGCTGTAAATGATCTGTCCCTTTAAGACAGGAAATAGACGTCCTGGTCCATATAAAGTGATTTGAGAAGACGCACCATGTTGTTGTCTGTCGTCGGAAGACCTCTGAACAGTCTGAGGGTCTCCGGTGCGTTGACAAAAGCCACAGTCGCAATGGCAGACGCTCTGGCCAAAATCCCCGATGTGGAGATTGATCCAGAGGGTACTTTTAAGTACATACTGGTCAGAGTGAAAGTGAAAGATGGCGATGTGCATAAAGACATTGTCCGGGGCACAAAAAGTGCAGAATATCACAGTAAGTTCGCTGCTACAGAAGAGCGTCAAGTGCGTCAGTTAAACTCGAGATTACCGTGAAAACCGAAACTCGTGCGCAGTTTTTCCTGCGGCGTGTTCCGAATTGACCCATTGATGTCCAAGTTGCATACATGCTGCACAGACCAGGCAGATGCAATACTTGCTAACCTTTTATATGCTTATTGCAAAAAAAAAAAAAACTGGAGGCTATGATGACAAAGTAACTTGCTAATATAACTTGAATACTAAACTGTACTGAAACTAAACCAGATTGTATCTTTTTATTTGAATTATTTACAGATCACATATTTGAGAAGGTCAGTCCAGCTATGGAGGCCTTGGGGATGGAGTGTAAATGCCTTGGAGGAGGGAAGATAGAGCACAAGAGCCAAGAGAAAAAACTAAGGGTGTTTGGAGAATCAACTGTAAGTTCATTTTATTGGAAAAGCATTAAAAGATGAATTATATAGCAAATACTGAGCATTGCTTTAATGTGATTATTTTCATGCTTTCTGACTCATTTCCAGGCCTTTGGCAAAGCAGACCATTCTGTGTCTGTAGAGAAGTTGAAGAGTGCCTACAGCAACTATGAAATCACCTGGTCTGATGACAAAAAATAGAGTTTAAAGCTGTATCCCATCATTATCTGCCTTTATTTATCAGTTCCTAAATGGGTTAATGTTTTGACCCTTCTGTACAACCACCATTTAATTCAAATACACTACTCTACATTTAATTTTATGATTTGGATTCTTTGAAATTAAAAATGTTCCCATATTGACACAAAGGTCTCAAAGTGCTTTTTGAATGCAGGTTTTTATCATTTTCACTCTCAAACCCCCCTCTCTTAAAAGTAAACAGAGTCAGTTTTACTTTTACTTTTATAAATGGATTTTATCAGAATTGGAGACCATGTGCCAAGCGTAAAGTCCATACAGGAACTTGTGAGTCAGTCAGAATCACTAAGGTATCCTGTTACTAGTTTCCTGTTTAAAAAAAAAGAAGGTTTCACTGCACAGATGTAAGACAAGAGTAACAAAAACAAGATTACAGAGCAATTAAACACTTTGAGCTGAGTCCATCGAGTAAACAAAACTTTCCCTCCAGTTTGTGAAAATAAACTCTTTTTTTTTTTTGCACCACCCAGAAAAATAAATAAATACAAATGGAACAAGTGAAATCTAGTGCTATCTAATTCCAAATATTCACTGCCTAAGCAAAAACAAGCCAAAGCAGGATACTATTGTCTTAACGTGACTGACTGTACTTAGGTTCAGTGATGCTTTGAGCCAAATGCTAATGCAGGCATGCTAACATGCTTATGCTTAGCAGGTGTAATTTGCATGTTCAACATCTTTAGTTTAGCACATGCTAACATTTCTAAATACAAAGTACAACTGAGGCTGATGGGAATGTTTTGCTGGTATCTGGTCATAAACCAAAGAATTGGCAAAAGTTTTGATCTGATGATGGTGCCAGAGAAAAAGTTAAGGGATCACCAAAGTTATTACAATTCAGTCTCATAGTAACATTAACGTCTGCACCAAATTTCATGAAAATACATCTAGTTGTTGTTGAGACATTTTAGTCAGACCCACAGATGTGAACCTCATGGAGGCACTAGAGGAAAAGTCATAGGATCACTAAAATCATTAAGAATTATCATGCGGGAACCACGAATATCTGTATTAAACACTTTCTTGCTCGTGGCGCTACAGAAGTCAAGGTATCAGCAAAAGTCTAGGATTTATCCTCTGGGCACCATTTATATTTACACATCAATTCATACCATAACAGTTGTTGGGATATTTCTGTCTGGACCAAAGAGGTGAACTGAATGAGCATCTCCTTCTAAAATACAAATCTCATGAGAAAAAAAATATTCACGCTGGGTATTCTGAACATCTTGGACATTTTCACCACTATTTTTGATGTAAAATCATGAATCAGAAAGCCATCGTTCTCATTGTGTTGTCAGTTAAGTGCTGATACCTTGGCTGTTCCCATGACTTCAACAGAGAGAGTGATTTGCTTTTTTCTATAATATAGTCAGGCTGGGATTACATGAAGAGACAGAAGACACTGAGACGGTCTAAATCCACAGAGGAACTGTGGCAAATTGTCTAAGATGCTGAAAAAACCTACCTGCCAAGTACCTTTTAAAAACTGCTCAAGTGTACCAAGGAGAACGGATCCTCTTTAAAAGGCAAAGGGTAGTCACAACAAGTACTGATTTGATTTAGTTTTTTCTGTGTACTGCACTTTGTTTGAAGTTGACTGATTATAAAAAAAAAAACTACAACATTATTTGTGAAATCCTCACTTTACCTTTAGAGCCTAATACTCATGCACAGTGCTGTATGTCATCCCATGAAACTGTATCCATATCATAAGAGTCTACATCCTTTTCCTATGGGTTTTCCCACTTGAGGCTGACTAGGTCTTTAAAGGTACATGTTGTATTGTTGTATACTGGGGCACATTCTTTCTCTTACTTACATTTTAGAGCTTTTGACTCACCATCCTGATGAGTTACAAAGAAAACATTAAGAGGAGGAGTGGTGTGTAACTCTGCAAACTATATGAACAGAATTAGCTGCAGCTGTCAACACACAGAGAACTCCATTGACCTTGACCTCCTCAGCACGCTTAACATAGGCACTGATGCTGACTGCAATTTGGCACTTACCCGGTGACCTCCAGATAAAAGAGACAGAAGTCGTCTTCCGCTCCAGTTACAGGCCCAAATCCGGAGCCAATTTCCTGTTAACTGATAACCTTTCCATTATCTACAATCAGGGAGGTCGGAATGGGAGGGAGGTATTAAACTGAATTGACTCAACCCACTTCTTGTAAAACGCATTTTACAGTTAGGGTGTGATGATATGCATTTTTCACAAGAAACATTAGACGTGTCTATGCCCAAACCTTAATCAATCTGTCTCATAATGAGGCCTTCGCCATAAACTTTACAATCTCATAGATAATAGCCCACTAAATAACATTTTCTGTATTTGTACAAAATTTAAATGCAAAATTTAAATGAATTTATATGGCATGTTGTGTATTGCTTATGAAGTACTAATATTTATACTTAAAAAAAAAAAAATTGATGTATTGAGGAGACAGATTAGATTTACTTTAGTCTGATTACTTCAAAATAAGTCCTTCACCAAAAATATATCTCTCACACAGAGAGGGTCAGACATTCATGGATTTATAGATGGTTATAGATAGATAGATAGATAGATAGATAGATAGATAGATAGATAGATAGATAGATAGATAGATAGATAGATAGATAGATAGATAGATAGATAGATAGATAGATAGTGTTGAGTCCACTATTATTTCGCAGCCAAACCGGACTCGCGTGTTCGTTTGATGAAGTATGCAGGACACAGATTTAAAGTTCAACACGTCTAATTTATTAAAAGTACAGCCAAGCATAGAAGTTTGAGATTGCTTACAGAGCTCTGGACTCACCCTGCTCTCGTCTCGTCTAAGCAGAGTGCAGTACCTCCTTGTTTCAGTCATTCATTCTTATACACACATTCTCTGTATAACAGGGTCACTCCACCTCTTCTCTCTTCACACCACTCTGACCTGAACCTGTTATCTAAACATGTCATACTTGTACTTTCTTGTCTGTCCCTGTGCATCATTCTGCAATCTCAAACGGCATTCAGTGTAACAATGTTCATAAACAATCATAATCATCACGTCAAGGTGGATTTGCCTTTTTAATCAAACAGTGCATACAGTTGCAAACATAACATATCCCTTCAATAGATAGATAGATAGATAGATAGATAGATAGATAGATAGATAGATTTGACCACCACACCTACTGATATGGACACGTGTTTCCAGGTCATAAATGAAACACAGTTAAGCATGTTCACACACACCCACTTGCCAACTGCCATCTCAGCACACACGTCTCGCATCCATCATGAAAGTCTCCTTACAAGAATGGCTGTCATTTGCAAGTCAAAGGAATAATAAATTGGAAGTACCACTCCAATATACAGTAATTTGTGGGCTTGTGTCACCATTACATTGAACTGTTAAACTATATCTCATCTGATCATATATACTATATAATATATTATCATAATTGTTCAATTATTTGAGGTCAATTATATGTTTTTCTTTTATCATAGTGTTCTTGGTAGCAATGTGCATATCAGCTGTTTCTTAAAGAATGACTAAACTTTGTAAACCTTGAACAGCTTAGATAGATAGATAGATAGATAGATAGATAGATAGATAGATAGATAGATAGATAGATAGATACCATATATTTTGATATGTCCGTCCAAATGAAAGCACACTGTAAGCTGTACTGCAATTTACTATATTCGAAGAGAGATAAGTGTTAGTGTGGAGTCCTGTTTCCTAAACAAGAAGTTGGCTATTTCCTGCAGATGCAGCAGCTAACACCTCAGGCTGTTGGGAAACAAAGGCGCAGCAGCAAAAGCATGATGCTTTACTTCAGTGCCCGAGATCTTATCAGTTAAACAATAGCTTTACAGACAAGTCAGAGTCAATAGAAACTCCAGACTCCTACAGGACAAATATCACTCTTCCCCTAACTGATTTGAATACAATCTAAAAATGCCTAAACATCCCAGTCATTTACTGTAAGGTACCTACATGATCCTGGTAGGTTTGCTGAAGTTACAGGTCATGATGGATAAGCATCTTCATGTGGAATTTCTCAGACAGAGATGTGTTTTGCTCACTTTGAGAGGAAACAGTTTGTGGAAGAAACAGAACCAAAACCCTTCCAAATGCGGGACATTGCGTATCCTAAAGGCCATCTACCTGCTTTAGGTGGCTATGTAAGATTCATATGTCATTATAAAGTCATATTATATGATTATTTGGATAACAGTATATAGTTCTTTATATGTTCATTAATGAAACCCAACTTTATTTATAAACTCTTGTTAATTACATAACACACAAACATTAAAATCACTATGCTTAAATGTATGCCGATCCATGAATTCCAGAATATCCACATTTGTGAAGGCAAATCACTTCATATTTATTATAGAGTTTAACATTAGGATAAATCAACTTTAACTGAATTTGTCATTAATGAAGAATGTATAAGAATGCATCATTCTGGTTGAAAAATGTTCTAACAGCAATATTCCGCATTGTGACTTTGACCTGTAATTTTATTGTTTTTCCATCATCATATTTCATGGATCATTTTGTGTCAAATTTACACCTAATTAGTTACAGTATTTAAAATTCTATAAATGGGACATGGATAAATACAAATTTCCCTCTTTTCACAGGCGTATTAAAAATGTCCGAAAAATCTGCATGACTTTATACCTATACTATCAACAGCTGTGTAGTATTTATATGAATTTGAGGCTTCGCTTCATACAGATGAAACTTTACATGAACCTATTTGTATTTCACTCATATCCTTTCGTCTTTCATTCGATCCCCGCAGCTTCATGGTGACAGTTGTTATTTTCAGCGCTTTGCAGTCACTACGTTCTTCTATTGGTTAGACGCTTTAGAGTTTAACGTTTCAACCAATCGGAGCGAGGGTTGATTCGACGCTTTGGTCACAACGTCACATCCGACTCAAACAACGGCGCGCGGAATGTTTGTTCAGTTAGGTTGACTATCTGCTATCTTTCCTACATTTTAGTCGTTAATAAGTAATAATGGTGAAGTTAAGACAACCTGTTGGAACATTTCTGTGATTGTTTGTGCTTTTGAACAAAAGGCACCGTCTTGCATTTATGGTAAGAGGCTATCCAAATTAAACTACCATGCTAGCGTTTAATGTTTTAGCAAATCAGAACGTAGCAAACACACACGCTAACGGCAGTTTTCTTTAGTCCAAACAGAAAGCAACTTTTTAAATAACACCGGCTGGCGAAGCTATCGCATTAAACCATACTGAACTACAACTAATTCACTCGGTGACGTTGTTCTTAAACTTTCAGTCGTCCAGACAGCTGTCCTGATCTCCTCCGGTGACTGCCGTCATCATGTCCCAGACCAACACCTCTCTCCTGGACGAGGTGATGCAATGGAGCCAGGAAACCTGTCGCCAGGAGCTGAAGTCTGTCCTGCCAAAACTCACTATATCCTCTCAAACGTGACATTACATCGTTATTTCAGTCTCACGGTTCACAGCTTTATACAAATGGTTTCTGTTAGGAGAGTCTAGGGATATCCAATTCTTCTCAAGTTTTGGAATGTGCAAAAGATTGGAAAAGCATAGAAAAAATAATAAGGATTAGGTCAGTAGTTTAAAATACATATCTATAGAATGTGTGCCTAACATTACAAATCATTATGAACACAAAAATACTAAAAACCCTCTCTAGATTATAGAGTTTGGCCAATATTAACTATATCCTCGATGAAGCTGGGCAAAATTTTATGTTTTGCCCATGCTAATCTATCTAACTGTTGTGTTGCCATCCTGACATTAGAAACGAAAGGGAATTGCTGTGTTAGGGTATTCCTTGACTGTTTCCACTCTTTGCAGCACAAATCAGAGAGTTGGGATGATCATATACGTAAGTTTCTTCATTGCAAAATTTGTAATTACAATCTCCTTGTTTTGCGCTATGAGTAATGTTTGTGATTAAGTATGACTTATCTTAAAAAACATAACATCCCTACAGGTGTACTGAAGATTATTACAGACATGTTCCTTCCACATATTCATTTGTCAGAGCTGGAAGAGGAGTGCTTCTCCAAGATCTTACCAAAGGTAAACAGCATAATGATTGCTTGTTGTCTTTAGGACCTATTATGTGAATACCTTCACTAGCATTTGTTAAATAATGAGTGGCTGCAGGTTCTGTAAAGAGTCCTAAAATGAAATTATACTATCTAAACTCAAGGTCATTAAAGATCTTAAACAGCATAATATTCACTGATTTAAATACCAAATATAACATTTTAGGTGTTCAATTTATTTTGTCATTTGTCTCTGTTTGAAGGGGTTGACATTCAATTCAACTCATTGATGACACCTTCACCTAGAGGGTTTTCTGCAAAATGGCTCACTAAATTTTTGCTTTTTCTTTTAGGATTGTTGATGGAAGTTTTACTGTGAATTACTGCTTCATTCACATTACTTTTCTTAAAAGTGTATTGATCTATCTTTGTTAACGTTTCTGCCTTTTTCTTAATATCTAACGTTTGCAGGCTGTGACAGTGTTTGAAAGCATGATGAAAGAAATCTCAGACCAAGTTGGAGGACTGTCTAGTCAAAACACCGAACCGTGTGCCTTACTAAGGAACATTCTTCAGGTACTATTATTATTATTATTATTGCTGATTTAAGGCAGTGTATTTCAAAATGGTACAATTAGTACCTTAAAGGTTTAAGCTAAGTATGACACATGTATGTTGTCTGAAAAAGGTTGTTCTCGCTTCTCTTCTAACCAATATTTTTGACAAGAACCTGTGGTCTGCTTCAGGCGATGATGCAGATAATTGATGCACTATCCACTTGTGTGCGTCATGTTGGCTCATTCAATGATGCTCCTGACCTGGATGCTATCCGCTCGTTACCTACTTGTATCCTGAAAATCCTGAGGGAAACCTTTCAGCACTGCAAGGTAGGTCTGTTCAGTTCAATGGTGTCTGTAATGTGCATTTCGTGCAGTAATTGTTCTAATTATGGCTGAATATTTTGATTGGTATTTAGAACATTATTATAAATCATTACAATTAGTAAGATTCTAATGTTTATTTCTCAGAATGAATTCTGAAGATAACTATATAAGATAATGTCTGCATATCCTGTAGATAACCGGATGTGGTACGTAAAATTAATGGTTTCAATTTTGTGATTAATTACATCATTTGTTGGAATAACAAATAATTACACACAGCTAATTCTTTAGATATAACCTCAAGTGATGTGATATTTATGTATACTCATTATTTTAAAAATTGGTGAAAGTCTGATTAAAAAATACATTAATTACAAAGTCCAAGTTCCAAATTTTTTTGTCTTTTCCTCCATTGTCTTTATTACCAAAAGTCAGATCTGAGCTATCAACAGCACAAGACCTCATTAATTAAAAACTTGTGTGATAAGCATCCTAATGCAGCAGGAAACACAACCACACGGGGATGCAAAGGAACATAAAACCCAGTTACAATGCAGTTTAAACTGATCTGCTTCTTTTCAGAAAACTAATACTTTTCATAACTCTAGTGAAAACCAAAAAAAAATGAAAATTAGATAAAGCAGACTCTGCATGTTGTCCACAGGAAAGTGAGGTGGTTTACTGCGGCCGTATGTCCCTGGTGGCTGACCTGCTGCAGGGACTCTTCAAGGAGGCATATTCCCTTCAGAAGGGTCTATTGGAGCTGCTGGACAGGATCTCCCTCGACAGCAGTGCCTCAGAGGAGGAGGTCTCTGACATTGTTACAGGTGTGTGTATGAATCCCTTTGTGTTTCGCTGCCATTCTTTTTGTTATTCAGCCTTTCCATTATTGTACTGGTATATCGTCTTTGCAGTTTTCAATTCACTGAACAAATTTTTCATCTTCCTCAGTGATTCACAGCCTGCTGGATATCTGCTCTATTATCTCCAATTTGGACATAGCACTTCATGCAAACACATGGAAATTCCTAATCAAGTCAGTAGAGCAAACATTCTATGTTTTTGTTAATGTCATATTGTCGGTCATACTAGATGAATCACTTTGTTATAATAGCATTGGTTACTGAGTGACTAAATGGTCATTACTCTGTTCAGACAGAGTCTAAAGTACCAGTCATTGGTGGAGGAACATCTGCATCATGGTGACATCAGCACCAGCCTTTGTGAAAACCTATTGGCCTCCTTCCACAACTGTGTGGAGCTGGCTGAACAGATAAAACATGCTGCTCTGCAGGTACATGATAAAACACATAGTATGAATAGCTTTTATAGCAGCATTTTATGTTTTGTTTTTTTTTTTTTGTATTGAATGACGATTTATTGCATGTTTTCTTTTCTTTGAAAGTTTGTGAAATTTTAATGTTGGAGATTAAAGAGTATGAACATCTCGATATGATACATGTAAATGTGGTAACCCAGGTACAGTGCAATATATTTTTGTCTTCACTGACCTAAAACCAACTAGAATCACCACAGTGGGAGATATTTCTGTGCCAATTAGTACTTACTGTATCCTGTGTATAGAATGAATGAAATATATTTCCCGTGTTGTGCCCTTTTGTACTGTACAAAAAATGACCAGTGTTTATCAGTGTAAGGTCAAAGACTTCATCTTTGTCACTGTTTGTGTTAATGTTCTTTTGTCCTTTTTAAAGGAGGCAACACAAACCCCAGAATACAAGTTGTTCCAGAAAACTGCAAAGATGTGCAGATTTTTTGCCAACACACTGGTTCATTACATAAAGGTACCACAAGTTAGAATCTTCTTGCAGCCCCTCTGGGCTCCATAAAAAACTTTGTGCCATCTCTATGAGTGCAAGACTATTTAAATCTACTTCAGAATACAAAGTACAAAGTGGAACTAACACCCTGTAATTCTTTATTCTTTCAACAGGAATTCAAATTTTTTCTCACAAAATATTGTAGCTGCTTTCACAAAGTCTACCTCCAGATCATCAGGTATGTGTGGTTTCAGTGTGGTTTTAAGAAGCAGATTCATATTCATATTCAGAGTTAATCATTTGAGTTGACAATATGAAGCAGTGCAGAAACATAATCTCTGATGTGCCTGTTGCCTTTCAGTAAATTCCCTCCCAGCTTGTGTGCTCCAACACTGACTATGGCTCTGTCCGAGGAGTTGAATGCAGCTGCTCTGGTTCCCATGGATGCCCTCTTGCTCCAGCTGTTGCCTTTAAGGCCCTTCGCTGAAGTTGTCGTCCAGCAGGAGCTGCGTGAGTTTGACGCTTGTCCTCTGCTTGCCCTTTTTCCCAGATACTGTGGCTGTGTTGATGCTTTCCAGTTTCCTTTTGAGATGGGGAGAATGTTATATAAACTCAGTGATTAGCTGTGTACCAATTCCATTCCCCATGGTTAGACTATGAAGTATACAATATGTATAATGTTGTGGCAAATTTTGGCAGTGTTGTACAACAAGAAATAGGTGTTTATTGTAATTGCAACAGAGAAAAATAGCGGTAATATGATGGTGGATGTAAATCAAACTGTGGGTTTGGAACAGCATTGTCGGTTTCAAATTTGAAAACTTATCAAATAGGGCAATGTTAGCCAAATATTTTCTACTTTTTTATCTACTGTTAGGGTAACTATGTAACATCTGCTCAGTGACTACAGAACAAAAAAGCTTCTTGGCACACTAACTAATTTTTAGGTTTACATCCCCGATAAAGCTGTCATAATATGTCATAAAAAACTTAGTGATTTTAGTCTGCATGTTAATACTTTTTAATGCTGACAATGTAATGTATACTTCATCTCATCATTCTTCTTTGTCTTTGGGAAAAAGCTGACTGCATGTTTTTACTCAATAGAATGTTGACATTATGTTTTTTGCTGCAGACTGAAAGTTGTGCATCAAAATATGCAGCATACAGTCTTAGAATGACCCCTGTCTGATTTGTCTCCAGGGTTAAGTCCTGAACATGAGCTTCCTCAGTGTCTTTTGCTGGTGAGTGTCCTGGGTCAGCTGGCCACCCAACCGGAGGAGGTGCAGCAGCTTTGGTACACTGGCAGCCAGTTCTCAGAGGAGACACCAAGGTAATAAAAGTTTTTTTTGGTTGCTGTCATTAACTACAATATTTTAAACATTTGGTGCTTCAAACCAGTTGCCAAGTTGGCAACCAGTTATAACCTTTTGGTTACTTAAGTTGTTTAGCAGGGATATCAGTTATTGATGTTGATGGATTACTGATTTTTGTTTTAATTCACAGTGTACATTTTAGTTTTCCTATCATGCAGAATAAATAAAGTTCAGCTCCAACATAATAGTAGAGTTTATTATAGTTATAGTAGATTGTTTAATTATTTAATCATAATAATGATATTATGTTATTAAAATAATATATTTTTTTAATGATATTAAATAATAATTTTAAGACAATTGCATCACACATGAACTAGCCTCAGCCTTTTAGATCACATGTATTTAAAGTTACTGTGCCAATTTTCAAGTTCACAAGAGCAGTGTGTCATCAGCTTTAGTGACTTTCTCTTCACACTGGCTTCATGTCTAAATACTTTTTTTCATCCCCTCTGTCTCCAGGCTTCCCCTCCACAAGGCCTTGTTCACTAGTTTCCGTCGTTGTTATTCTGAGCGTAAGGTACCGGTGCTCTTGCCAGGGGTGATGATGAAGGGTCAGGCCCAGGTCCAGGTCACTCTGCACCACCACATATGCGTGCAGCTCTGTGCCAGTGTGGCTGGGCTTCCTCCAGTGTACTTTCCTGTGTTGGTGAGGTCTACACTCGTAACCATTTTATTCTGAAGAATGCTGCATTTATTGTAAGTAAGAAAGATTGATGCCAGAACCACAGAGTAGCACATCTTTCAACCTATGGAAAGAATTTGCTGCATCTTTCTTTAAAAGTAGTAATAGTAGTAGATAAAACCCAGCAATTGTCATGTAGTGGTACACATGCTTTTGACAGAAACTGTCATTGGCCAGTGGAACCTGATTGGCAAGCCGTCTTTCAAATAATCAAGAATGTTTGATACAATTAGGATTATAGTTGTGGTGCTTTGAAACAGTGGGGGTCGCTTTTTTCACAGCAGGGTCATGATGAAATTTATCAGGACAGTGTTTGAAAAGGTTTAAGGTATTTAATGATATGTTGGCATCACGCATACTATATATTCATAGTGGCAAATATTTTGTCAAGTTGCAGTGCATTAGCATTTGAAGACTGCATTTTCACATTATATGACAGCAATTTTCCCAGTATTAATTGTTTCGATGTTTTTATTTACTCATACTATAAACTTTAAAAATTGTCTTGTTACGTGATCATGAATACTGGCCATTAATGTCTTAATGGACTTTATTTCAGTCACTAAAACATGTAAATGAGAGCAGCTTTATTGGGAATTCTGCTGTATTAAAATACTGTACATGTGAGTAGGAGAGAAGCAAATGGATAAAGGGCTGAAACTGGCTGACACTAGGTAGAATGCACATACAATGTGGTCCATCTACAGTATGTACTAGATTTTGCACTAATGTTTAGGTGCATTTTACACCATTCAAAGCAAGTTATTCTTTCACTTTTGTTTTATTTGTGTTTGTTAAATAACTTATTTAAAGAACTTGTTTTATCTGGCAACTGCATTTTCCTCTGTATATCCCTCACTCTTGTCTGTCTGACTTCCCCTCTCCTTTATCTCCTTTTTTCAGGAGCGTTGTTTGGTTGATGCTGTCCTGCAGGCTGATACACAAACAGCTTTACTGGCAACAGATGTGTGGTGTTTTACAGCACGGTGAGGTTAACGATTAATGCAATATTCACTATTCATCATGTCTAACTGTGGGTTTTCCTTGTAATAGTGTGAGTGGTCAGTATTTTTTGGCCAGTTCATTTACAAGTGGTCACATAAATAATTTGGCCCTTAAAATAAAAGCCCCTTTAGACTTCTTACAAATTCTCTTTCACCAAAGTATGGTTGGAAGCGTTTTTACACATTTTTTCTGTGCTAAATTGAATCCACTGCTGATTTTGTCTTTGCTGTTTACAGGTATGGGACAGCAGAACTTTGTCTACATCATGTCCTCCTCATTGCTCAGCTGGTGGGTAGAAACCATGAAAATACACAATGCAGTTGAGAGAATGCATTTTGTGGTCGCATATTATTTTAAACTTGAAAGACAACAATTGGCAATTAACAACCTATTATCACTTTTAAAGAGGCCCAGTAAAACTTCATACTCTACACTAGTTTTATTGCGCTTACATACAATGAGTTACAGGATCACATCCCAACTTTTTATCTTGGCTTCCACCATCTTGGTGGGTAGATGCCATGAGATCATGGATGTTTTTCCATGTCTGTGACCTCTTCCTGAACACTTTCTGAAGTAACTCTAAATTTCCATAATCTCTCTCTGGGGTTATGGATTAGTATGGAGTCCTCACTGTCTTGTGTGGCACCCCAAAAGAGGTGACAATTGGTCTTGTTGGACCTTGGGGACTGACACCTTTTCATAACTTGTTTTCTCATAGCATCATCAGATTAAGCTGGATCCCACTGATTTCCATACATGTCCCTCTTCACCTTTCTTCTGCCCTGATGCACTGGTGATTTTACTCCTCCTGAGCCTTCACACTGTCCCTTACCTCCTCTCTGTTTCTCCCTCTTCTCCTTTAGGTAAAGATGTGCACCACTGAGTGTTACCAGTTGTTCCACATGGGCCTGCTGCTTAAACGCATGGTTTTCCTTATGACACAAAACCACCAGGTTAGAAAAACTGAAACTGAAATAATTTTTTTCTCAGCACTGTAATATGCTGAACGAAATAGTAATTTCTGTCACATATTTCAACGATTAAAAAATACTCACTGAAAATGTGTTGTAATCCAGTTCACATCAGACAATTCCACTTCATTTAGTTTCCTTTTATTATTATCATTTTTGGGGCATTTTGGCCTTTATTTGGATGGCTACGGTGAGAGAGAGACTATGTCTTTGTGGTATATGCTCTACCGAGGTTTTTAACAGTGCTTCCGGAAATTGGTGACAAAACAGCTAATCAGGATTACTTTCTCCAAGTCTGTGATTGGCTGGTTTTGTGGCACATTGTGATGCTGCGCAATGTTAAACGAGCGCGCAGGCAGAGTTGAGTGAGCGTGCACCCATGTTGAGCGTAAGGGAGACAGTGTGAGCGAGTTGCAGGTATCCGGCAGCGCACAAAGCACAGATCTGTGAGAGAACAACTGACTTAAACTGATACGACTACTTGGATAATAGCAAACGGAGAAATACAATTATTAAGCATATAATAGATTTTTGTTTGCTCAGGTTAAGTTATTCTTTGCTCATAAATATTTTCCCTTCAAAATAAAATATGTGTGTTTGCAAAACGTATTTGTCTGCGCTTAGAAAGTCCCACTGCGTGCTCAGGAATGAGGTACAAAAATAATGCCATACAAATTAAGATCAACAAAAGTAGATGATCTTGCTCAAGTTTTGTGATGATCATGATTTAGAGCAGAAGACCAGTTGAGCAAGGATGCAGTTGAATTAAGAGATTGACATGAAGAAAAAAATGTGACTGTTTTTGTTTGCTGCATAAACACTTTTAGCGGAGGAAAATCCAAATAAAAATTATAAGATAAAATTAAGAATAACAATGATAGGAACAAAAACAATGGGGTTCTCACGCTGAACTGTAGAGGATCAGAAACTTCATAATTTTTTTTTATTAATCAAGTGTTTTTTTTCCCAGATGGAGCTGGTGATGCATTTCCCACCCTCTGATGTGGAAAACTTGCCAGTCTGGCGTCATGTCCTCGTCAGAGCTCTTTCTCAAGAGGCCCGTCACCGCGTAGAGACAGACATCATTGGCCTTACTCAGAAAGCTCTGACCGACTGGCAGAATGGAGGGTACAAACTGGGACAAATGGACAAAGTGGTGAGGACTCCCTCAGATATTAGAATTTGAGATATTTACTACATGGTGTTAATATGTGTTCACCCTCCATTCTACTTCCGAATGTAACAAGTGAATTGTAGTGACTATGATATTGAATACATGGAGAGAAAGAGGCAGTACAAACATTAAGGGCAATGCCGCAGCATAGTGCCTGACCTTGTGCACTGCAGAGAAAGTGGTTAGATGACAAATGACCACAACAAGTGTTGACAAGAGTATGATAACCTTGTTCCCATGTATGAGAACAGATAAGATTGTTATTGGTGACCTTTCTCATTTGCTTGAATCATTTGCTGGCATCTCTGAGAGCCAAAATTCTCAAATAGCTTTCCCACTGAGATGATTCTTTTTGTTCTTTAGAAGTGGCAGGGACCATTTTTTTTTAAGGTTTTACGTAAACAAACCTATCGCATAGAGTCATCAGTTAATAGTTTTTGTTTTTTTCCACATTACGCATTTCTGCTCACCTTTTCATGATTTGCCACTAATACAGTGTTTAGAGGTCAGAATCAGGTTTAGGTTTTCACATATGAGGAATTTGCTTAGGTATTTTGGTGTATAACAATAAACATGGTACCTTAATTAGAAAAATAAAAAATAAATACAAATCAAGAATCATAAGTAGAAACATGAAGAGGAAACATGAAGATATAAAAAATATGTACAGATTGTTATTTAAATCAACAAGCTGTAGTTTTGAGCAGAAAGGTACAGAATATTCAGTTGGTTTAGACCATAAAAGTTCATGTGCAAGTAGAAAAGTATCTGATAATGTCTTGCTGGTTTTAGAATATGCCACTATAATGTTCCTGGTTTTATTTATACATGACACAAAAATAATCTGACCTTTTACCCACCTTTTAACAAGTCTTCAGCTTCAGGATGTTCCAGTATATTTCACAGTAATGTTAACAATGCAAGGAAAAAGGGTGGTGGAAATGAAAATCAAAAATAGGCAAAAATATCGTATTAACAAAGTCCCTCCTGTCTCCAGAATGTGGTGCTCTTATCCCTCCTAGTGGTGGTTCAAGGGCAGTCATCTCCTGAGGAGCAGTGTGTGTTGTCCGCAACGAGGATAGTCACACAGCTGTGGTTACGCATGAGTTCAGATCAGGTGAGCTCCAAGAACAGACAGACAGACACACACACACACATACACACAGACAGATGTAATGTAAATGCACAACTGTTATCACTGTAACCTGTCACACTCCAGGTGGAGAAGCACCCTGTGCTCCAGTGTACTCTGCAGCTGCTCCTGTACCTATCAGCCATATTAGTGAAAAACATGGAAACTCAAGTCATTTGTCAGGTATTCTGTTAGTTTTCACAGTTCACATTTCACAAAAGATAAAGAATGGACAATACTTCTGTTGACTGATGTGTGTGTGTGTCTCCCAGGCTCTGTTGTGCGTGGACGCTCTGGTATCTCAGAAGTGTGCAGATCAGCTGCTGCTGGCTGCTCTGGAGTTCCTGGCCTCCCTGGGGAAGATCTTTGTCCCTCCTGACAGCCAGGTACTGAAACCACACTATTGCAGATGAGGATTTTACTGTTTAGTTCCTTGCACATCTTACTAATGGTTGCTCTAGGAAAATTATTCTACTGCTGTTCTTATTAGAAGTCTCTCTTAACACTGTTTAAATGTTGCTGATTGTATATTTTATTTGCCTAACAAAAATCATCATGTCTTCATTCCTTCATGGAGTAAAGACTTTTTTGTTGCCAAGTATGCAGCTGGAAACATCACTTTGGGTTCTTGCATTTAGTGATGTGTATTTGTCATTATTCTTCACAGTTCATACACTAGAGGAACAATCCATTGTATGAAAAACTCAATCAGTAATACTCATCAGTTGAAACTGAATGTTTGAAATTGAATTCTGAATTTCCTCACTTTGGAAGACTACAATGTAAATATATGCTCATAGTTTCTCATTCATACAAACTTCTTTGATCCTATAGAGTCAAATTCTGCCGAGGCTGAGCAGCCTGTTTGGAGTCCTGCTGGCTGACAGATCTTGGCTGCTACATCAGCATGCCCTGGAGGCCTTCTCTCATTTTGCAGAGGTAGCTACTACTACTACTGTTTCAGATGCAGTACTGTATACTGTTGATGCCTTAGCATAATCTTACTGTGTTTCTGGTATTTAAGGTTACAAACCACGAGGAAGTCATTTCCCAGAGTTTGTGTGTTGAAGAAACAAAGACCAAGGTGGTGAATTATCTTAGCAAGGTAAGAGATGCTTTTATAATTATGATGAACGTCTACCTAAAATAAAACAGATACATTTGAATGAGACTGTTTTGTTGTAGACTGTGAATGTAAAGGAAGATGTGGAGTCACGGCTACAGAGGCTCAAGATGGAGACACCAGAGATTGAGCAACACAATGACAAGCTTGAAAACAACAAAGAAAATGTTTCGAACAAACAGGTGGCTGAGGTGGTTTCAGATTTAGAGGTTAGTAGCATCATTAAATCAACTTAAAATTTATTCACAGGCTTTCTGAATATATTTGCTCATGCACAGCCTTGCTACGCATGCATACTGTCTAAGTCACTGAGTGGCTACTGTCCAGTATGAGTATGATAAAACTACCCACTTTAAAAATTGGAAATGCATAAAATGCACCAGGGTATTATTATTTTTCATCTGTATTTGATAGTTGACAGAGACAGAACACTGGGAAAGAAAGAGGCGAATGAAATCTGATGAAGTTCCTGACCAGGAAGGAATTGGGTTCATCATGGTTACTATTGAGGTTAAAATTTGCAATGGGTCTTCATTGGAAGCCGCTTCTGGAAGTTTCTATTTCACAGATGTAACATTTTAATATGTTGGTTGATGAAATGTCTGTTTTTTCAATCCCAATGTAAAATATTTTAGCAGCTCAGTAAAAACTTTACTGAGCAATCACAAAAGTTCCATAAAGTAGTTGTAGAATATTTTAAATATTTAACAAATAACTATTTAGTAAAATACTCTATAATTTTACGAAAAATCATGTTGTGTGAAAGAGGATTTAATTCATGAAAAGATGTTTTTTTTCCTGCCTCTCAGCCATGTCCAAAGAGAGCTCGGCAGGAGACCAGTGCAGAGGAGGAATACAGCCGCTACATCCAGACAGCTGAGAGTGCTTTAAAAGCCCTTCAGGCTCTCACTGAGGGCGAAGCCAACATGAAAGCACCACCACAGTGGCTTCAATCCAGACTGCAGGAGCTGCAGACCCTCATAACCAACATCTGTACAGCCAGGCACGTGATCTAGCAGCCCCAGTTTGTTTTCCAGGCCCAGATTTACTTTCTGTATCAAAAAACTATTTAATCAGTCTGGGATTGTGGAAATCTGCAATACCTGTTGCTGCTACTGAAAATAGTTTCTTTTACTTTTTAAAACTGTCAGTCTTGATTTATGTAACTGTTTATTAAATTTGTTGGAATACAAAGAACTGATTTTTTTTTTACTTGGAATCAAGTTTAACTGTCTTCACAGCATAGTTTGGGTAAGAAATGTCTTTATTGAGAACCCATACTGAGTCAGGCTTTTCTGTGGGCTTGCTTCCATTACTTTAAAGATCCAACTACGTAGTGTCAGTAGTCCTGAGTAACTGCAATCGCTTTATAGCGAATTTCTCATCAAAAAGAACAGGGCCATATTTAGTACAGTAAAATCTTTATTTCACCAGCAACCAAAAAGCTACTAATAAATTAGGTAATTCCTATTCCACATTCATTCAAAGTGCAAGCCTTCTGTAAATCAAACCTAACACATTTTGGACAAGTTGCATCCTACCAAAAAGTGTCTTGATCTTAATGCCAGTAGTGAAGTTGGCACATTTAGAAGAAAAAAAAAAAAAAAAAGCAGATGAAAACAGGATGACATTCACCTCTGATTAAGATCCTCATTGATTTCTAGGTGACTTAAATCAGTTGGCAAACTATTAAAAGCAGCTTCATTTGTCCAAGTCTGCCAATATCTGATAAGCAGCCAATCCTTCCATTTTGATGAACATACTTATAATAAATGTCCAGGGACCAAGAGAATAGGATTTAAAATGTTCTAGCCCATCCCTGTCATTATTATTCTTACTGCCTCATGCTGCTAAAAGCTGGAGCAGCAACCAGTTGGCTGTAATTTGGCGCTTCCAGAGGTCCAGTGATCAAGTCTTTTGCTGTAGATAAACCAGACGGATCAGTTGTCATCACCAGGCACTCTCATCCTCCCAGTTCAGGTCATCTCCATCTCCCCAGCCATCTGTTTCCATCTTTGAGAGAAAACGGAAAAAAAGTAAAGCATGAACAATCAGAGGTAAGTTTGTAAATGGAGAGAAACTCTTGGATGCCTATTCAATCATTTAGAGCAGTGGTTCTCAAAGTTGGATACTTGAGGGGGTTCCTGGGGGTCCCCAGCAAAAGGTGGAATAATTTATTTTCACTTTAATTCCACCAATAGGTAACATAATGACAGAATGTATGACTATCTTGGTATTGATTTTCCAAAGACTTTCTGTAATAAAGCATCTACAAGCAAAAATCTTATCAGATGGGGGTCCATGATCGAATTTGTGTCACGACAGAAAAGGTCAATTACATACATTTGGGTTTTTGGCTCTCGTATAACAATTCAAACTGCTTCCAACAGTAAGCACTGCTTACCTTTTAGACTAAACTGCTGTACATTCAGACAAAGGGGTGCTCTTCCTGACTAAACAAACGAGGGAATATCTATTTAATGCAGTGCTTCCCCACAAGGGGTTGCATGATTAATACTGGGGTAGGGAATAAGATGAGAGTAGAATTCCACAATGCAAATTATGATCCTGGATTTGTTCTTGAATCTCTAATATCAGAATAAAACAGGAGAGAAAAATTTGCAATTTGATTCACAATTTATAAACATGCACCCTATGGTGAGCGGTTGCAGCGGACATTGCTTCATATTTAGAGATCACGATGAAAAAAAGCTTGGAACCTAATATTAATAGAAATATTCTAACATTCCTTATATTGTATTTAAATACTTAAAGTCTGTTTAAAGTATTCAGGCACATTTATTTGCCCTTCTTCCACCTTCAAAACCAGATCCCATCAAAATCCCAGAGAACAAAATCTGAAAACGTCGCCCTTCATAACACCACGCACACTCACCTCTGTCAGGTTGGCAGCTGCGAACTTGGCAGTGAGTGTTATGGTATCGATGGATGAGTCAACCTGCAGAGATTTATTGTTTACTGAGGACAATGCAGACAGTCCTGCATCGCTCACACTTTCTTCCAGTGGCAGCAGAGCTGGAGAAGACATCTTGATGTCCGGCACCATGTCAGCAAACAAATCCAGCTCTGGGTCTTGCTCTACCTTTTTCTTCACCTTAATTGTGAACTCCTCCCCTAAACCTCCTATCCCACCATTCTTTTGTGGCACTGTAGGTTTGGGGTTCGGGTCAAATGGGCTGTGTGATTTCTCAGAGTCCCTCTCCTCTTGAGCCCAGCCATTGTCCCATGAGGAAGTGATCCTGCTCTGTGTGGATTGTCGCAATGTTGAGGTCAGCTTTAGGGGTTTAGAGGACCCCAATCTCAGTGCTTCAGGAGCATGTTTTACAGGTGACGTAGTAGTGCCCCCTCTGGGTGGTGTGAGTATAGCTGGGTCTGATAAAGGAGCAGTAGGGGAAAGATCTGAGGTAGGTTCAGTGTCCTCAAAGTCGTCCCACGGCTCCTCCTCCATGTTCTGGTGTGAGTGTGGCCGTCTGCTTCTGCCTGGATCTATTCTTTCTGACGCCTGAATGTGGATCTGGACTGACTGTCCACCTCTGTTCTCGCTTTCTTCGGGGTCGCTCCAGTCAGGCCAGTCTTCCACGGGGCCTTCTAGTCTGTCTGGCTGCTCTGGGCTGTATGACAGTGGCTCCATCTCATTGTCCTGATTAAGGCTGTTCAAAGGAAGAGACATCTGTCTACTCACATCTGAAACACACAAGAGAGAAGACAGATGGAGCTTCAGGCACAATAATGCCAAACTGTTAATTAAAATAAGTAGTATGAAGGGTGGTGTCCTACCTGATTTTGGTGCCAGGGGGTAGCTTTTTGGCGTCTCCCTACTACCTGCTAAACTATTCATATTACCCAGGACCAAGCCTTCAGTCCCTGACGGTCTGGGGAATAAATTCAGGATTTTGGAAGGCTGGGCCAACTGAGGGTGGGAACCTCCAACAATATGGACAGGTGAAGCTAAAAAAAAATAGAGATAAAGTTGAGAAGTCACTAAATGTTGCCTTTATAAAAAAAAAAAAAAAAAAAAAAAAAAAAAACGAAACTTTTCCCATTCCATGAATTATGCGCCGAGTCTGCAGATCTTTTGCAACAACACACTTTACCACTTTTTATTTTTAAATACTTTTTTTAACGCTTGGCTACTCAAGAGCAACTTGGTTATACAGTTGTTGTTAATGGCAAGTGTGATGTTCAATTTTTCAAATCCAGATTTTCTAGTTTGGACCAGCCCACTGGGAAAACCTGTTCCTTGAAGCAGTGAGGCGATCAATGAGACATCATTTGGCAGACGTAAACATTGTTACACTACGCCGATCCCAATGCTCTGTGCCTCCTCATGCTTCAAGATTATCCAAAATACTGCTGTAAGAGTTCTTCCTGCAGCTATATTAGTTTGACCATTCCTGTACTGGTGACTGACTACAGCATGGTTTGATAATTATATTGCTGAACATTTGCATAAACTTACTTGAGTTACAACTTCTATGATTTTCTGTTTACTACTGACAACTATTCTTAATAGCTTTTTTGATGAGTTGCAGGATCATAGAGCTTAGACTAGTAGGCTTCTATTCTAGTTCACCAATTTAAAATACCTAGACCAGCTGGGAAACCAATGTATCTCTTGCCACCTCAACAGCTGCCTCTGAACAAAACATCTGGCTAAAAACCTCAATGCATAAAACAGTAGTAAAGTTTGTGTAAGAACAACAGTAAAGTGTACACATTGCATATCAATATGTGCTGTGGCACAGTAAAATTCTGAGGAAGCATGACTGTATGAAGCTGAAATGTTTGTATTATATACAATATAATGTATTTACGTACAGTTATTGCTATTCAAAGCATTATTGATACATCATCTTTCATTGTTATTGTCATTATTAGGGCAGGGTTGCTTACTTTCAGGCGTGACCTCCGTAGACTTGGTGAAGTTGGGTGTGGTGCGTTTAAAGACCTTGGTTCTCTCTCCTCCAACCACCACTTGAGCTCCTAGCAAAGGCACCAACACTGCCAGACTCTGCAGCGTCATGGCAACCAGAGAATCATTGGTGTCTCTCATTCCTAACAAAACCTGTAGCCACAGACAAACAAAGATATTATGTAACTAGAAGAGAATACTGACATTTATGTCCACCCAGCCCTTATTCACTTTTGCTTCCAGGTTGTATGCTAAACTGATCCGATCTCCTCCAGGCTCTAGCTCTTTAAGTAGTGTTCACACGAGTAGTATCGATCCTCTCATCCAAGGAAAAAAGTGAATAATTTCCCAAAATGTCAAACTATTCCTTTAAAGTTAACGAAAATGTTCACCATTGACATCAAAGTCAATGTTGTGCTACATTGTCAACATTTTGCCAACACTCCACCTGAGGCAGGATCTGGCTTTTGAGCTCATCGTGGGAGAAGAACTCAGCATAGATGTGGATGTGACCCAGTAGCACGACCCGCACGTGTTCCTCGTTGACCTTGAAGAGCTTGAGAAGCTGAGGAATCACATGTTTACGGTAAAGGGTCACAGACAGCAGGCATTCTTCACTGCTACCACCACCACTGGAATCTGTCAACACAAATGAGATAAAAAGCAACATCCACTTTCAGTTTTACACATCTTATTAGTTATCATTAGCAGATAGAGTCTAATAAAATGCCATCTTACCCTGCTTTGGCCTTAGAAGATGAGGAAGGAAGCTTTTGACAGCCATGGGTTCTGCAAAAACGAGAGAGTTGAGCAGTTTGGGGACAAGGCGTGCAGCTATCAGCTCTTCAGGGAGACTCTGGACCCGGTCTAAAAGAAACCTACACAACAAAACACAACCAGCATGTTAAGGGATCCTTGTCAAAATTAGGTCTAGTTAAAATGATGCATTATTTATTCAAAGGAATGTATGGGACACACTATATCAACTCCCCAATCGTAGTTATCCTCAACTGACAATGTAACACAATTGCACGAAAACAGGAAATTCTAAGAGACTTATATATAACTAAATGTCTAAAAGTGTGGATTACCTTGGTGAACAATATGATACTATATGATAACATGACACGCTACTATGTTTTGCATGAACACAATGCACAAACAACAAAAGAGCACATTGAATAATAAGAAAACGAAGAACAGCATATTGTTTCTCACTTAAAGAATTCATTCTTTTCTTCTTCTGTCTTCAACGTCAGGCTCTTGAGAAAATTCATCACTTCCAGGAAGTCATTCCTATTCATCAAAAAACACAGTTTGAAAATAAATCATTTTCAGTATGTTCTGGTGACAACAACAGTAAACATGATTACACAAACCTGAAAAAGTCATGAGTCAGCAGGGAGCTCAGTGGAGGTCGAGACAAGGGGTCAGAGTTCAGCAGGCCTGCCTGCAGGGTCTTCTTCAGGCTGTCAGACAGCTCCTGCGACACTGGAAACAATGAAGGAAAGAGAGGTGTGAACAAGTGTATGAGAAGGTACACCAATCAGCCATAACATCAAAACAGGTACCTGGTTTTCATGTTGTGGCTGATTGGTGTATATACAGGCAAAATTTGACAAGATGCAAGATAAGGTTTAAGGTCACAAGTTCATCTCTACTCACCATAGCCATTCAGGAGAGGGATAAGGGTCTCCACCATCGTTCCAAAAGAGTAACAGTCCCGAGAGTGAGCATTTTTATCCTGAAGCATTTTAAAGTCCTCAACCTATGAACAACATGTTTCATGAGTAATGAAAAGACAAGGGGAACTGATTCCATTTTTCCACCATGACTTTTTATATGCCTACCTGCTCTTCTGGAGGAATACAGCTCGCCTCTCTCACATTCTGAATGCTTGTGAGAAACTGAGGAGATCAAGAAAACCAAAACATAAAACTGATGTAATTTCTAGGAAACTGAATATTTTTTAGGAAACAAAAAAAAAACAAAAAAAAGAGAAAAAAAAGGATTCTTCGTAAAACATTTGTTTTAATTCTACCTCTTACCTCTGGAGTTGCTTCAGAGAACTTGCAGACAGTCTCCATCCCTCCCAGTTTCCAATGACCATCTTCACTGACATAGACAGATGAAATGCAGACATTGTTGTGGCTTGATTTGCCCTGGTGGAACAAGAAGATAGGTTAGGAGTCACACCAGATTGCTTATGACCAGAAACACGAAACAACAAACCTCAGCAGTCACTTTCAATAACTTTTATTCATGTTCATTTTTATTCATGTTAAACCTGCAGGGTCGTCCAGCACCCACAGCAACTCTTTCATGCTTCTTTTTGCTCACCCTCTCGTGCAAAAAGACAAGTGCCTGCAGGAGGTCATAGATGCCTGCGCAGATTTCCTCTGGGGAGAGGCTGTCCAGCAGCAGCTCCAGGGGCTGCACACGTTCTGTCACTAGGTGGATGCCACCATCCTGCACTGAGCAGGACAGGAAACGTAGCAGACAAGGGTGCCTCAAGGTCTTCAGGTGCTGCAGGAAATTAAAGCATTCATTTATTTCTCATTTAAAAATAAAGGTGAATGTCAGACAACTGGTGGAGAATCTACAAGTAGGAACTGATTATGCAGCTTCAGTGACAAAATCACTAATTTGCAACTTGAATCAAACACAGACTGCTGGCAATGTAAAGCATAAAGCCATATTTTGGTGACTTTCTTCCTATACAGATGCAGAATGCTTTACCTGTATGAGGGAGTTCAGGTTTTTTGTTTGCAATGTAATGTTAAGATGTTCCTTTCTGATAAATATTGCTTCACTACTGCAGCGGTATTCTGGTGTCCATTTGGAGTGGGCACTTGTATGTGTAAGACAAATCTACTACTACAATCACCAACACTACTACTACTACTACTACTACTGTAACACAGCTCCGGCCAGTGTGATATGGTAACAGGAGGAGGGTTCAGCCTAACTACCTTGGCAGCTTTGTTGACTTTGTCTTCATTGCCACGCTTGTGAACAAACACAGAAGCGGGCTTTCCATCCTGGAGCACCGCCGAGTACATGGTGAGTCCGGAGGGCAAGGTGAGGAGCGGTTCCTCCAGGATGCAGCTCCTCACCGCGCTGCTCTCCGCACCCATGGCCGCGCTCGTTCCCCGACCTGTAGGGTAATTTGAGGGGAGACAGCGGGACGTGAAACACGGCCAACCACGATATGTTGCAGTGCGAGGTTGTAAGCTCTTACATACACAGTTATAAGCTCTAGCTTTATCAATGAATACCTGTTTAACTGGACTGGACGTACCACCGCTTTGTGACAAGTTAGCTGCAGCTGATGTTGGTTGCCTAGCTGGCTAACCTCGGTGCTACGTTAGCCACCTGGTCATTGCTATCCTTGTCGCTCGCCCTTTCGCCTCCAAACAGTCATGCCAATCGCGATGTGGCACAAAATGTTTTTTTTACAAAATTATCAAACTGTTGTTAACAAAATTGCACAAGTTTATTCCTATTCACTGCTCGTCAAATCAACTATGCTAACGTGGAGCAAAAGCTGCGCTGTAAACACGGACCTTTCCGGTAAAAGACGAAACCACAGAACAGGGGACAGCATTACTTTAAAAAAGGCTAGAAGTGGACCACTGAAGCTGATTTTCTCATAGTTTTGGAAAAATACCATTACAGATAGCCAGTTTCATAATACTTAAACATAAGATTTTACATTAATCTGCGTCATTTTACATTTACATAAATTCTTATAAAACCAAATAGACCCCTGCTTTAAATCTAATGGTTGCAACCAGAGTGGTGCGAGACGACGCAGGTAGGCTATGTGCGCGCAGAGGTGACTGCCATATGGTGACTGAAATGAAAATAGAAACTGTTGGAATCAGGCTAAGTAAACTTCCCGACAGCCTGTGCTGCCTGGGTGTTAGTAAATGTGAGTGTGTGGTCCTTGTGTTGGGGTGACCAGTGTGACAGGGAGCTGTTAAAAAGCCCTACATTAAAAACCAAACCAGATGACACTTTTACCACTTTGCCCTGAAATTCATCTGGTGATTAAAGGGACAGTTCTTCAAATTCTGCAGTGGCAAAGAATTATATTTATTCCAATATGTAAACACCAGTGCAATATTACAGTTGAAGGCATGGTTGGATTACTGAATAGGCCCACCAGGCACAGGCTTAGGGGCCCAAAGAGACAGAGGGTCCCTGGCATGTCTTGTTATCTCATAAGCCGTCCATGGGACATAGGAAGGGGCTTCATATGAAGGCTTGTCTTGAGTGTTTTTTGCATTATTGAACAAATGGTATAAACACTGTTTATCTCATGGAATTTTCTATTCTATTACATTAGTGTCATTTATCTATTATTGGTAAATGAGGTTGAGTTTCATGGCATGTGGTGGCACTCATGGCCACATGCCACATAGAAATGTTAAATCTACAAAAGTGCATTTCAACTTTAAATGTTATATTTAGTATGTTTGTGTAGCCTGTCTAGGCTAGCCTACTGTATATTAATGAAGTAAACCATAACAACATTAATAAAAGCTATATTGATATTGATAATTGATTAGGCCTAGTGAATCAGTGCACTGAAATTTCAAGTTAAAGTTACATATATATTACATATACTGTATGAAAACAGTATGAAATATCAAAGAAATGATATATATATGAAATGCTGCACGTGTTTTATCAGACAGTGGTGGCCAGTGTACTCTTTTATGCAGCATAAAAGACAGCAGCATGTCCGACATGAACACAAAGAGACTGGACAAGCTGGTAAAAAAGGCTGGGTCTGTGCTTGGAAGGGGTGTCTGGACTCACTCAGGACTGTTGTGGAGAGACGCATGCAATGTAAGATGGAGGCCATCTTGGGCAATACCAACCCCCCTCTCCACAACATTCTGGCAGGACAGAGAAGCAGCTACAGAAGCAAACGTCTCATCAGAACAGAGAGGTTCATGAGATCCTTTGTTCCCAATGCCATCAGACTATACAAAACCTCAGCCAAATGATGTGGACTAATCTAATTATTATTGTTTATTTATATAAACTGTTTTTATTATTATTAATCTTATGAGCAATGAGCTAAAGGACACATGAATTTCCCCTAGGGGATAAATAACTATCTATCTATCTATCTATCTATCTATCTATCTATCTATCTATATATATCTATATATATATATAGATATATATAGCATTTCTTTGCCTTTGAAAAGTACTACACTAACTGAGCACAAAAACACAGCTGTTATCTCAGCTGGTATCTCACTTAAGAAATCGCTCTTGGTTTCCTCTTCACCAGGAAACTGCTGCATCTCATATTAAATATGGAAATGTTTTGATTCAGTAACAAAGAAACACCAACCTTTGTCAGAGGAAGTGACGGTTTCGACAAGATGAGAAATAACCTTAGTAACTAACCAGCAGCAAAAAAAACGACAGTCACTCAAGCAAGTTTTGTGCTGAGATCAGGAACCAGCATGGATGAGCTTGGTAAGACAACTTTCTATCAGTGTGTGTTTTACACTGTTGATTGTGTTAAATGAATCAGGGGGCAGACAGTGTTGTTAATTTAATTCTGCCAGTGCAATGTGCTACAATTTACACCTGGCTCAGAAACTAGAAGTGAAATGAAGAAGTGATTATGGAATAAGAGTGCCAGTACAGTACACTCTAAGAGAAGTATTTACTGCACTTGGTGAAACAGTGATGAAAGTAATTTAATTTAATTTAATAAGTAATGAATTGCCCTTCTTGTTACATACTACCTCTTACTTTGGTTTTTCATTTAATTACTGACATTTTAGCCAGGACGCTTAAAACTCTGATCTGAACAGTCTATCAAGGTAAAATAAAGCTTAAACAAATTACAACAGATAAAAGATAGGACTCTATTGGTTATCTAAACTTATAACTTGTGTCTAAAAGAAATACAACAATTTGTTTTAATTTCAAGATTCTGTAAAAGTATTTTTTTCTGAGATGTGAAGACTCAGAGAAGAAGAACCTGATTAGATTTGCAAAGACAAACGTGCTAAAAGTTAATAATTTTCCCTGTTCTTTTCAGCAGCCATGTTGTCTGCTTCCCTAGATACCCAAATACTTAAATATCTTCCTATTTTCTTATATGTGTGGGTTTACATTGTGAGGAAACTTGAATCTGGGTTTACATTTGTAAGTGTTACAACATTATTTCAAGTTTCACTTCTGCACCACGATGTCGCACCATCACTTCCTGAGGAAGCTGACTTGCATGAAGCAACCTCAAACCTTGATCTGTATATTAAGGCGTACTCTGTCTCAGTTCACAGGAAATATTTCACTCTGCACTATGCTACACATGCTCTGGTTAAGCAATAAACACCTAGAGAGAACACTGTGTTTTAGTCGTTGTGTGAATACTGTACTGTATATGTCCATATGAGTATTTATGTTCATATGTGTGGTTGCAAGATTGATGGCCTATGTCCTCCTCCACAGATTCGCTGTTGGAAGAGCTTGCCCTGAATCCAGCAGGTTCAGAGAGCGTCAATGAAAACAGGGGGAATGATGCAGCTGATGGAGAGGTGAAGACAAAACCACAATAATTTAATTTCAATCAACCAGTTGACAAGATAACATCTGCAGAAACAGTGTTTTTCAGCAAATTAGATGATGACGCTTATTTGTGATCTTAGCACATCAATCACTGAAACTCCAGTACATTTTGATTGTATGTCCGCAGGTATCAGGTGCAAGCTATGCTGGACTTATCAAGAACCAAAAAAGCTCAGCCTTCTCAAATGTCTACAGGTGAACCACACCCTGATCGACATTATCACTGAGTAAATAACGTAGAGGAAACAGAAAAATACCAGAAATCAATTAATATTTTGTGGTTGCTTTTTCACTTTTAAACCATCTTAATACACACAAAGATCTTACTGACTTATGTCTACTTTGAACTTTAATACCAGGACTATTTTTACTAGAATATTTCACAGCTCTCATGTAAGAGCAGATTTAAAAATTGACAAGTTCTGTATGGTCTTTGTAGATTTGTGTCATTACTACAGTTTCAAGGGTTTTCTTAAAATTATAAAATCACATTACACAATGTTAAAAACATCAAGTACCTTGGGTTATGCTCAGAGACAGTTCAGTTGGGCAATACATACTGTCACAAATGTACCATTAATATGAATTAACAGTAGTCATGTCTAATCTGCCTCTGGCTGGGATTTAGTGATCTGCCAGCTCCTGTGGCAGCTTCCTTGGAGCCTGACTCACCCACTAAGGAGCTGGACTCCATCTTGCAAGAGCTGAGGTGTCTGGGAGAGGGAGAAGAGGTCAGTACACTTTAAGTGCATGTCAAATGTTTCAAACATGAGTGAAGTGAACCAGGTTTAACAGCAGAGGGCAGTATTGTACTAATCTCAACATTGCACAGTCTCATGTAATAGAATTTCAGTATAGGAGGTTCTTAAGCGCTGACCTTTTTTTCATATACCAGCTAAAAACAATAGATGTCTGTGTTTATTTGTATCATTTTTTAGATTCCAGCGTCTTCAACGACCCCGCCACCACTTGTACAAAAGCAGTCCATGAAAAGGAAAACAGAAGGTGGACAACAGGAGAACAAGGAGAGCAGCGGCAGCACGGCAGGTTCAGATACGAAGGCCTCGACCACGAGCAAGAAAACAGATGCTATAGATGACCTGCTCGGAGGGCTGAGCTCTGACTTGGAGAGGATTGGCGTACGCACCACGGCCAAGGGCCACTGTGCTTCCTGCAACAAATGCATTGTGGGAAAGGTACAGTAAGTCACATTAACAAATGGGCAAGCATTTTAAATACATGTATTGTAGATTTAGAAATCCGTGTAACAGAAAAGGATGTTTTTTGGGTTTTTTTTTTACATATCTTTCTTACAGGACAAAAAAAAGAAAGAGAGAATTTAGCATTATTGTGTCAAATTGTGGCAATTTAGACAACAGGCTGTTTGTTCTGTCATTTACTTTTGTTTTTCATTTCTGTTCTCCAGATGATCACAGCACTGGGTGAAGTGTGGCACCCTGAACACTTTGTGTGTGTGGTCTGTAAGACTGAGCTGGGCACCACAGGCTTCTTTGAGAGAGAGGGGCGACCGTACTGTGACAAAGACTACCATCACCTCTTTTCTCCTCGTTGTGCTTATTGCAAGGGGCCCATTGTGCAGGTGGGAAAGGAGCCATTCATTTACAATCATATCACGCTTATAGAGAGACAGAACAAACATAACAACAAGATGTTAAAATCATGTGAAGTAAAAAAAATTGATTGTGGAAATGTTTGTTGCAGCCATTTAAGCATAAAAAGTGGTGAATATTTGGTAAGACAAAATACCTATTCAGAACTCCTATACCTTAAATGCCTCACCAATTAAACTTCAGTTATCCCTTTGTGTTTTGATTCATACACTAATTTGTTCTGTCATATATTACATCCATTAATTTACACAATAATCCTTTGAAGACTGGATGATGACATACAGTAGTATGTAGTTAATTTTTCTAGAAGTATCCCACATGTCATCTTAATAAGTAAAACACAAAACCATATTGGGGTTCTGCAGACTGAGGTTACCAAATGATGCAGACCAAGTCATTAATCAGAAACTAATACAGCTTCTCCTGTGATTCACTTTATGTGTTTTACAATCCGAATTTTTGTGCTTCCTGAAGTCTGAACATGTGAGATGAGAAAAACCATACTAATCCTCAAAGGAAGTAAAAGCATGATGTAATATTTCTATATCTGGCTGGTTTACCAGAACATTCTGACAGCCCTGGACCAGACCTGGCACCCCGAGCACTTCTTCTGTACACACTGTGGAGACCTGTTTGGAGCAGAAGGTGACAGGCTTGTGCATTAATTTCTCTCCACTGGAAAACCACAACTTCAACAAAATTTGCAAATGATTTAATGGTAACTTGCAATGTCTCCTACGTATCTTATACTTGTCCTAGGATTCCTAGAGAAGGATGGGAAGCCATATTGTTGCAAGGACTTCTACCACCTCTTTGCTCCAAAGTGCTCAGGCTGTGGGGAGTCAGTGAGGGAGAACTACCTGACTGCAGCCAATGGCACCTGGCATCCAGAGTGCTTCGTCTGCGCAGTGAGCCTCTTACCTCAGACCACACACACTGCTCTGGCTCGCACACAAGCCCGAGTATAAATGAGAAAGATACCCACACATTTGCTTTATTTGCAACATTTCAACCACAAGGCTGATGAAAACCGTATGCCTGATGAATACGATGTGGTTGAAATGATGCAAATAAATCAAGGAAACCATATTCCTCAGTGTGGGTATCTTTTACATTCTCTTCTAACCCACTTGTATTCAGCATCTGGTCAAAAATGTTTCAGTGTGCAGCCTGTCTTCTGCTTTACTTACATCAGATGCTCTCAGTAGATACAGTATGTTCTGATATTAGGCAGCAACTTAAACGTAGTATTTTATAGTACCTAAAAAGTTATTCTTGCAGAAATACAGTGCACATAAATCTGAACATGAAATACATAAAAATACACTGTTCTTAATAGCTACCGCTCAAAGTTACAATTAACAACATCACATAAAATATGGAATAAATATGAAATACATCCACCTAATTGTTACTGCGGTTATATGTCTCACCATTAGTCACCATTCTGTCTGTTAGCCTAAATCTATCTCCAGAGGGCAGGAAGTCAAACTCTCCACAAAGAAGTGGACACTCCAAAGTGGCCGAGCCTTTTTAATCAACCCCCTGCTTAAAATAAATGAGCCAGTTCATACAGTCTCGCCCTTTTTGGTCACTCTCACTGAGCTGTGCTGCAGCCTTGTCTTGGCAATAGCAGAACCATACCATGAAATGTTTAAATATGATTACTCTCCTAAACCACACTTAAACCAGTAGGGTTTAGAAGTGAGTCATTAGCTTCCTACAAACCCCAAATGAGTTGAGGTTCCTCTGGAAGTAGAGTTGCTGCAGACTGCAATGGTATTCTCATCAAATGTCATAGTTTTTAGCTCCATTATGTTTTAAGAAACAGTTGTCACCGACACTGAACAAAATAGGCCCTTAATTCTCACAGGCGACATTTTGATTTGTTGAACACACTGATTAATGGATTATTCCATTCAGGTGTTCCAAGGCTGTGGAGTTGGACATGCTGGCCCACTGTCATGGCCTACTGGCTCATATGAATGGAACAGAGCCACCACTAATGTTATGAGTTACACCTGTTCTTTTGCTGCCTTGACAAGTCAAGATGTCTGCCAAGAGAGATTTCTGTAACCATATGCAGCTTCACTTGTGTACGGACCCATTTAGTTTATATTCTAGCATTCATTAATGGATTGTTAACAGAAACACAGATTTAATTCTCTTATATCTTTCCTTTAGTTACATAAAAAAAGGCCATGTCAGTAATTTTGCAGCACTGTCATTAGATTATATAGCTATACTTTACATTACAGATGACCATTTTGCAGAGCATACCACAGGATATGTTCCTTGTTAAATATGTTCACTAATTACCCACTCCAATTTTCATACAGTACTAAAGCCATGGTGTGCTTTGGAAAATAATCAACAGTAATATTAGTGTGCATGTGTCGAAATCATGAAAAATCACTGGTTTGGTCCTTTAAAAACAAACCTTCCTCTCCAAATTTGACACTATTATCCTTCCTTCTCTGTTACCGTCTCTAACCTTTTTTTTTTTTTTTTTAATCCTCCCTCCTGTCTTCCAACTTTTCCCACATCGTCTTTTCCCCATCTTCCTCCTCTGTCTCGATATGCAGGACTGTCTGAAGCCCTTCACTGATGGCTGTTTCATGGAGTTGGAAGGTCGACCCCTCTGCTTGGTGCACTTCCACTCCAGGCAGGGCACTCTGTGCGGCCACTGTGCTGAGCCCATCACGGGCCGCTGCATCTCTGCTCTCGATCGCAAGTTTCACCCCGAGCACTTCATGTGTGCGTTCTGTCTGCGGCAGCTCAGCCAAGGCATCTTCAAGGAGCAGAAAGAGAAGCCGTACTGCTTGACTTGCTTTAACAAACTCTTTGTGTGAGACATGCAGGACATAACGCACAAATGATGCAACGGAAAAACAAATGAAATACTGCGGCTCTGCCACTGTTGAGCTTATAATATCCTTGTCCATAGTATGAATGATAAATTGAAATGACTATATTCAACTCTTACAGTACATTACATATCTGATCTGTTTTTGCATTGGTACAGATGAGCAATAAACATTTCACTTTTTCAGTACATCATGGCCAAAGGTCAGCGGTCACTGTGATCTCTCAAAACACATTTTTGGACATAACTCACAAAATCATATGTTAATTTTGACACAATTTAACACAAATGTCTAATAGGTTACTTCACTTGATTGAGTGATGACCTTTTATATCCAAAGGGGGAAGTTCACCATATTTCCTGCAACTTTGCTGGTTGGCTGAAGCATACAATCGCAAGGCGGTAGGCGGTGCAAGTTGTGAATATTGTCATGTGAAGTCCATTGCAGACTGTCCTATCACTTTGCCATCTGTACTGTGGCTGCAGACTGAAGTCGCTGATCTGCTAGCTTAAACGTGGGCTGAAAAAGGTAAAGCCAGTGAGATAGCTCTTCCAGAAGGCCTAGGGCAATGATTTTTGGTTCCACCCAGTATTAATCAAAATGTGATTGGTTAATTCACCTGCCACTCTCTAAACAAACACATGCAACTATGGGGGCTTCAGGCCTTCTGTCTCGGTTATGAAGTCCTAACTAAAGTGTGAGCCAGCTATCATTTTCTCTGCCTAGAGACAATGACATCAACAACAAAAAAAGAAAAATCTGATTAGATAACTCTATGTTCATAGTTTTAGGACAGTAACCCTTTCATTTCTGAAGCAAAGATGAAGCTAAGATTTAGAATTAGAGATTATATAACATTTAAAAAGATGATATGTTTTACCTCCTCTAAAGGGATAGAAGGCCCTGACAGTTCACCACTGGATCCAAAAATGATGGATTACACAATTAAAAGCGTGTAATAAGGAGTGTGATGTCAGTTACTAATAGATATGTAAAAATATCAATGGAAAATGCTGCCATTGTAACATAATTAATGACATGGTCGTAAAACACAAGGAAAATACCTATTTCCCATGACAAAAATACTGAAGAAACGTTTTACATATGTGAACTTTGGAAGAAGGGTCTAAAAGGTGTGTTGCTGACACTTGGTCTAGATTTTATGGGATTTCATACATCATGATCACATAAAATTTATAAACGGAGAAAGAAAAACACAGAGGTGCAGGTTTAATCCGTGGTTTCCATTAAGCTATCCTCGGTTTGCTGTAAGACTTGGCAGAGCAGAGATACTCTGGCAGTAGGGAGCAGTTTGTCAAGGGGCTTGTCTATGTGGCCTGATAGCTTGTATTGGCATGGAGCTGGACTGGCATGGCATTGGACGTGCCAACCTGAGTCTCTTCTTACTCTGACTGACCATTTGGCCCCTTGCATGCAGTGGATCCAGACAACCTCTGGATTCTCCACACAGGGTCCTTTATAGCAGCCTGTGGAAGATTAATGGAGGTGGTGAGGTGAACAAAGGTGGTTTCAGAGGTGAAGAGTTCCTTCGCATCGCAGCATCTCTTCAGCAGCTTACTCTGACTGTTGAGGGATGAATCAACCACAAAGTGCTGTAATGCTTTAGAGAAAAATGATTTTTGGTGATATACTGTACCTTGGATGTCTGGGCAGGTTTTGTTGTTGCCTGCCATTATTTTGTTCACTCCCGCTTGATAACTAATAGTTTCGATGATATGTAAGGGAGAGATACTTGTAGCAGAGTCCAGTTCACTTCCATTAGGAGGAAATGTTTTATCTGTGTAAATGTGAGATATTGTTGTCAGTTCTGCAGAATCTCATCATAACAAAATCAGTGTTTTACACCAATACTTATTACAATTTTCAAACTGCACAAATTGCAACAAGCTCTTTAATCCAACTCAAGCAGATGTATGCATGACGCTACAGAATTCACAGTTCTCTTGCATCCCTGCATACATGTTCCCCTTTTCTTGTTTTATGTGTCTGATTTTGCAGCAAATCTCTCCCAAACCTTTTCTCAGTATTCGCCTCTGTAGGAATAAGTTCAGTGTTCTTGCCAAAGTCAAAATGTATCTTATCAAACAGTATCTTATCATCAGATGAACACTGGCTACTTCTTGTTGGCAGCTTTCCTCAGCTTTTCTTCAAGCCACTTAGACTTGCTATGTGAAGTTAGTGTGTAAGTGAGAACGGAGGTGGCCATTAATCACGCTGTCATCGCTGTCAGACAAGGCCTTTCATGGTCTCTACAGAATATGGACCTTGCATCATGGAACGAGTGTGAATGTATCGCGTTCAGTCAAGATCCAAGATCGTAAGTGTTTAATGATCTGAGGGCCTTGTGCCTAAAATTCCTACTGAACTCAAAGACATACTGTAATATTAAATGTTAGATATGTTTAAACACGCATGAGAGATTTGCATTTTGTGTTCTGAGATACAAGAGGAAGTGAACTTTCCAGCATGAACCATTCACAGAACAACGACTTGGATGTGATCTGACACTTTGGCATGTTACACAGCTGTAAAATTCCACATCATCACGTGGCTTGAGGACTGATATGTTCATTCTAGTATTCATTTTTTTTTTCTTTCTGCACCATTCACTGTCACAACTGTATGCTATTACGAGTGGACTTAGCTGCCAAAACTGTCTTATAAGTGGGAATACTTGGTTAATACTGTCTTTCCTATATGGCATCAAAGAGCCATAAACTAGCAGCTATAGTTTAAATTTAGATTTGTGAAAAATCTCAGACACACTCACCCTAGCTGTCTAGTGTAGGCCTATTTACTGAAATACAGACAACACCAGAGCTATACAAAGCCTTAAACAGAAAAGTAAAAAACAAAATTATGATCCATGGAAAGACATTCTGGCATTCACAGAAAAAATATGAGTGTTATCATATGGCTGGGTGAATGGGGAGGAAAAGCGTTCTCTGGCACGTAGTAAAAATGAGAAAACATGAAATGTGAGCAGGGGTCTTTTTAAAAGGGTGGCGAATAAAGGGCCGTCTGTGGAAAGCAGAGAGAGTGTAACTCAGGTGACATTTACAGCAGTGAAACAGAGTACGAACAGTCTGGGAGCGCACTGGGCCATGAGATGGCAGCTAGAGCTCAATGGGGGAGGGAAAGGGAGTGAGGAGTATATTGGGACATAATGGATACTGGTGCTGAGGGAGGCAGGGTGAGGAGGGCAGCGGTTGAGGAGTGTAGTTGCAAGAGTTACCCCTGCGTGACACTGAAACCCAACACTTACGTTCCTCTCCTGTAAAATGGCTGTGTCTGTTAGGCCACCCCTGATTGGGACGGTGGGGCGGCCTGTCCAGAGCCGTACAGCCCCACTGTGGGTCACACCTGGCTGGCCCTGCCCTGCCCTGTAAACCCAGCAGCTCACATCTGCATTGAACCCATAACTGTCAGATAGGTCTTATGTACAGACGGACTCATTAATCAGTACATTTGCTTACACACAGACACATTGAAATGCCAGCTGGAGACAACTCCAGCTGCAAATCAGTCCTGACAATGTGAGATCACAGCTCTGGTAGGTGCAATAAAACATGGATGGATCAGATTACTGTAACATCATTACTAGGCATTTCCAAGCATGTACTAATGAACTTAACAGGTCACTGCGTCTGTTAGGGATATAAGTGAATGCAGATACATTACTCTGAAACAAATCACATTTACTTATCACTTTAACTTAACAATATATGATTGACTTGGTGAATTTGTGACAGAATTTGGAGATAGCTGATATGTACTCATCATTTTTCACAGTTTGATCACCTGACATAGGAGTCAGGACAAATCTGGTGTAAAAAACTTCCATTCCAAAATCCATTCAAAGTCCATCTAAATTAGCTGAATGACTATATTAGTGGTAATGAAGTGGTTTGATTTTATTTTGATGTAACAGCCAGTGATTTTGCCTTTTTTTTTGACACTTCTGTACTTCTCTTTGCCATATGGGAAATATTGTTGCTGTCAGTAATTACTGATATTTTCCAAGTCAGAATAAAAACTAGGAGGCTAATGTAAACAATTTTTCTGACTCTGGTGTTCCTAATTATAGAACCCAGCATTAACACCTGTCATTTCCAGTGGCCATCTTTATGTGTGATTAAAGATTATTTGAGGATAATGGTAAGTTTATTGTCATGACTCTATTAACAGCTGTAAGTGCTTCAGTGTGACTGTGGGAAATGATTCATTTGAACTTGTTTGCTGAATGTCTTAGCTACATTATGACCCGTAGAAAAACTGTCATCATAAAACTAAACAGCAGAGGCGAGACCAGAAGTTCGCTGTGACTTGAACAACCAGAAAATTAAAACACTATGTGAAGAACTAAAGTCATCTGAACTGGGAGGATCTCATGCATCCATCATTATTGGCCAAACATGTACATGCAAATTGCAATGCTCCACACATGTGAGCTGGGCAATGCCTGTATGAAATAGAAGTGTTTCTGTGTGAGAGTTCAAATTAATGTGTTTTTAACAGCAAAGGAAAAGTGACAACTTCAACACCTCAGAAATTACTTCCACGCAGAGAGAAGTTGAGCTGGTGGCTCCACTTTTGGGTGTGTTTGTCTTGGCGTTCTGCTGATGCTGAGTGCAGGTATCACACCTGATTCATGACTGGCCGCTCTGTCCAAAAGGAACCTCTTGTTGTCCTTGGCCGAACACTGAGTGCTGCTTGCTATCTCACACTCTCTCACACACACCAGTAGGCATATGAATGCGTGCACGCACGCACGCATGCACATGCACATGCACACACACACACACACACACACACACACACACACACACACACACACACTACAACACAAAACAAACTTGTAAATACTATTTATGGATTTTCTATTTATGCTGTCATGGGTTAAGTCACAGTTACACAGTTACATGCACAAGCACAAAAACACATGAATACAAATAGCTTCACACACACGTACAAATACGCACACATCAACACTAATCACTTCAAACACAAGAATACTGTCTGTGAGTTTGGTCAACATGATCACACACACACACGCAGATGCAAAACACATGCACACATAAAAATATAAATGCTATTTATGAGTTTGGTCTCTGTCTCTTTTTACATCTCTCTCTCTCTCTCTCTCTCTCTCACACACACACACACACA